ATTGGTTGATTAGATAATTGCATTAATGAGAAATTGAACAGGTGTTCCTAATAATCCTTTCGGTGAGTGTATATAGTTTACACAGATGCACACCCATAAATTGAGAAATGACTGAAACAGAAAATGTGCTGTGGGCTCTTATTTTTATCCGCGGCTGTATGTGCATAAACTGTTTTGAAAAATGTTCTTGGTCGGGAGCATGTTAAGTATATTACGTATATTACATGAAGTGTGCTGAAGCTTTCGAGAAAAAATATTTATGTCAAAGACACGAGTTTCAACGTCGTATTACAGTGATGCAGTGATACAGTGATAGGTGAAAAGACCTCAAGGGGATCAATACAGTATCATTTTGCTACTCATATCTGTATATATCATATGTTTGTGTGGTTACTTCACAACAGCGCAATATGTACAAAGCTTGTTTATTAAAATATTTCTCTATGAATATCCTAGATCTATCTATCCTGATTGTGTTGTGTTTTATAATGATCATTTTTATATTAGATGTGTATTTTTATATTTTTTCGTGTGCAGCACATTGGGTACTCTGGCTTGAAAAGTGCTCTATAAATAAAGTTTATAATAATAATAATTGTTGTTGTTGTTATTATTATCATTATTAGAGGGGGTAATGGACTTATGGTATATATTTTGGAACTTAAGCCGGGTGGATGTGCATTGACAAGTTATTGTGAATAAAATGAAGGTAGATTTTGGACTATATTTTTTCTACATACTTTTCCCTTGCTGAACCTTCATAATGTTTTTATATGCAGTGATTAACAACTGGTACGCAAGTATATGCATTTGCCCCGAAAAGCGATACGCACGGCCATTTCTTGTCCTAGTAGCACAAATACTATATTCTTCGCGCATTGCCGCCCATTACGCGGCCGTAGCGCCCTCGTGCGTCCAGCACACGGCCTTGCTCGGCTTCCGTATTCCCGCAGGAGCGGAAGTGACGAAATAGAGTAATATAAACCCAAAAAGATAAATACCGTTTCCAGTCTACAGATTAGTAACAATGTCGGACTGTAAGATAAACGACGGAGACATGTCCACTTTGCAACTATTTCAGCAGGTTTGTACTTTCATTATATATTCTTTTAATGCCGATATTTCTTGCAAAGCGAGTTAGCTGATTTCCGGTGTTCGTTAGCCAGCAGCTAGCCTTGTTTATAAGTAATTTGTTTTCTCTCGCGAGGTTGAAATTGTCAGGACATAAATCGGCATATACAGACAATATCGCCTTCATTAGGAGCGTCAGGTCATTAATCTTATTTTTAAAGATGGATTAGTAAATTTGACAACATGTAGGCCTACTTGTGACCCGAGCTGTATAAAACTAGTATTGGACTGTAGTCTATGTATGTACAATCACTGACGGTCTCTATAACTTCAGACTGCGTTGGCTTTATAGCAACGCGCTATTTTGAACGCGCTAATATCATGCTTTAGCATTTTCTGTCATATGGAACTGTTAAACTTCAACTTGGAATGTACCTTTCCTTGTATATACGCAAGTTATTATATTAATATCATAAATGAACGATTATTCGACTAATCGCTAAAATGCAGGAGTGTTAGTCGACTAGGAATATCTTTAGCCGGGGGCAGCCCTAGTATAAAGTAATTGTCATTAAAATAGCTGTTAATCATGAATTTGCCATATATTAGGGTGACCAGATAATCCATGTCAGGGAGGACACTCTGAGCTAGGACAGGAATTGTAAATTACCATTTCAATTAAACGGACCTGGATTTCACTTGAGCACTGAGTTCTTGCTGTGTGCTGATTGGTCAGTCTCCTATAATCATNACTGAGTTCTTGCTGTGTGCTGATTGGTCAGTCTCCTATAATCATGCATGTGTCACTAATGTTAATGTGAAACAGCTGGATGAGTCTTTCAGTCAAGGAAATAAACCAGTCAAAGCACAAGAAGAGCTGAACTGAACAGGAGCCTTTCAATTTGAAAGTAGTTTATAAAACCTGAAGTAGCTCAAAGTGTCCTCCCTGACATGGATTATCTGGTCACCCTACCATATATCTATGAAGGAAACATCTGGTTTTGCTAGGTGTTTTCAACACCACACATTCTTTTGTCTAGCTCAGATACCGAAATGACTTTAAGATCTACTTCCTTTGTTTCTTTATAACACAGATATTATAACTGTAGAATTTGTTTATATGAAGGCCAACCAATGGTGCCTATGCCTGATAGAGTAGAAAACAGTCCAGGGCCTAGAATTACCCCTTCTTATCCTACTGTGTTGTATTTGGCTCACACCATTTACCGTTTCCCGTATTGCTGCATTTTGTATGTGACAGGTGGCCTTGCTGGGCTGGCTTCGGTCAGACAGTGAGGAGAGCAAAGATCTGCTCACTACGCTCACTGGAGCTCGGGTGATGCATGCAGTCCACAACCGGCTCACAAGACGGAGTCAACTGGACGCCTACAAGGTTAGGTCTCAGTCTCACAAAAAAAAAGACCAAATCAATGGTGTATTGCCCCAAGATGTTGGTTTAGGGTTTTGACCCCAAACACTATATGAAGAGTAACCTTAATTCCTCCAAGTAAATATCCATTTTACATATTTTATCTATTATCCATCTAGTATCCATCTAGTATACATTTTTGAGAGAACAGGGAACAGTTGGCCGTAATCATGGGACCAGCAGTGAAATCACTAAGCTGACCACATGATTTGAAGTGGTGCCCTTTCAATCACAGACACGGCATCCAGTCCTGCTGAACTACACACTACCCACATCTATCCATAATCTGAAACCACTTGTCCTATTCAGGGTTGCAGGGGGTCTGGACCCTATGGGTGCAAGGCAGGGAACAACCCAGGATGGGGCACCAACCCATCACAGGGCACAAGGCAGGGAACAACCCAGGATGGGGCACCAACCCATCACAGGGCACAAGGCAGGGAACAACCCAGGATGGGGCACCAACCCATCGCAGGGCTCAGTCACACACCATCCACACCTGTGGGCAATTTGGCAACTCCAGTCAACCTCAGTGTGTTTTTGGACTGTGGGGGGAGACCAGAGTACCTGGAGGAAACCCGACAATGACATGGGGAGAACATGCAAACTCCACACACGGTACCTTGACAGAGACTTGAACCCAAGTCCCAGAGGTGTGAGGCAACACTGTCACCCACATCCAACACTATAAATTGATTTAGATGACATTTAAGTTGCTTCATGTACTGCAGAACCTGAAGAGTGCACACTTACCCTGTTCTTTTATTAGCTTCTCTCCTGTGATACTTGTGCTCACAGTTCCTATGACAGCTGGATATCTATGGGTGCTTTTCTATTGCACCAGGTACCATACTTTTGGTACTTGGAGTTTTACCTCTGCTGCTTTTGCATAAGCGCTGCATGCGTTCTCAGAAACAATTGTAATCATTTCCATCCTTGCCGTTTAAAACATTCGAAGATGCGCTTGTGAGAAATTTATGAACTATTGTGTTTTATAAGTACTCCAATATTTATCACAACAAAATCACATTGCTAAGACAGCATGCTACATGCATATATTCAACAAAATACTTTTTAATTTGTCATACCATCTGGATCTTTTTGTTGTATATGTTCTTCTGGCCAAATCACATTTATTTACTTTATCATTATTTTCACAACTGTTTAAGGCGTTTGTATGGTTTCAGATACAGGCTATTCGCATAACCAACTGACAAGAAAGGAAAGCGTTTCAAGTCCCACCCAAAAGTACCAAATTACCAAAGTAGTACCTCAGCTGCTTTGGCACTTTCGGTACTGGTACTTGACCGGAAGTCAATGGAAAAGCAAAAGTACCATACCAAAAGTACCCCATGATTTAGCTTGTCAACCTTGGTGTATCCAGTAGGTTTACCAGTTTCACAAAGGCATGATGGGATTTTCCTCTCTTAATACATGGATTTTCCTTGTTTTCCACGCACAGAGGGAGTGTATTCTGAGCGTGGCAGACTATGTGAGACGACACCCTCGTGCCTCTCAGCAAGAGCTAAGTGCTGAAGTTGAAAAACACATCAAGCTATTTGCTGCACGTGTACAGATGCTGGACTCATCCCCGCTCCTCTGACCTTCTACCTGCATTCAAGCCAGATGCTCATTCCTGTGTGTTTTTATTGTAATTTATACTGTATATATAATGGGTAAAAAAAATCACATCATACACAAGATATTTTGAAAATTAATTTGTATGTTAACCTTTTCTGGTAGATGTGTGAAGTATGCTCATAATTTAATACAACTGCAGTTGGTAATGTTGGACAGCACAACATGAAAAACAGGCATTTTGCCATCGTTTTGTAGGTGAATCCTGGCCAGCTACAGCAAGTTTAGAAATAATAATAAAAAAAACCTTTGATGGGGAATTCTGTACTCTTTAGTACTAACCTCATCAAAACATGAAAAAACTTTCCACTCTTAGGTAATGATAATTCCAATGAATATTATAGTCATATTTCAGGTGGGTATGGCCAAAACAGCCTACAAGAGGCATTAATCCTGTGTCTCCGTCACATCACACATGCACACACTAGGGACAGTAAGATTCACTGATGCACATTGGTGCACCGGTATAGAAGTTCACCATGCAATTGCCCCGATTAAAAGTTTGCACTGGATACAATTTATGCTGAACCTGGGCTGCCGTTTCTAACATCTTTAATTTTGAATATACAATTATTAGTAGAGGCCCTTTGCCATTATTTAGAAATGCTACCAATAATTTTATATTTAATTCCACCATTCAACTGTTTCTGTATGTGTACCATATTAAAATTGCATATTTTGCATTGAATCATGTTGAATCGCACTGCATCGCAATAAGGAATGAATCATATCGTATCACGAGTCATTACTTAATATATATCTTTAATGCATTGAATCGTTGGGAATGCATTGAGATGTGTCACATCGGCCTCAGTGATGGAGACGCACATCCCTAATACACACAGCCCATATTATAAATCATCCAAAGATATGTTTATTTGGTATCTTATTTAAGCAGCACTACTTCCTGACGCATTTGCCGTCTAACCAAAACTGTACAAAACCAAAAATGGGAGCCAATACACATTAACTGAGCATCTTAAATAAAGCTCATCTTTTGAGATTTTAAAAAAAAAAAAAAAATACAAAAATTCAATAAAAATGATCTCATTAACAAAGGCTATGCCTTAATTTAATGCTAATTTCCCACTTAAACATTTTCATTGCATTACAGCATAATTAACCCTTAGCTGGCACACTCCCAAAGACAGACCATAAAATGAATCTAGTTATTCCTGAAGTCCCAAGTTCAAGTATAGCCACGTGTTTGTGGATGGCAGTGTGATTTAAAAGTTCATTTTTCTCCATGATATGAAAAGCTGAAATGTTAAATTTTAGACATTTCGTATGCAGACAATAATACTGGGTAATTAAATGGGAAGCCATCCAGTTATTAATAAAACAGGAAAGCAGCCCATTTGCTGCCCGTTCATAAAAAAATATATACAAACCGAATATAGAGAAACAGAACAGCCGGCGTGTTTTCAGCTGACAAACATGAATAAACGTGGGGGGTGGGGGTGGGGGGGGGATCTTGCAAGAACAAATTAATGCAAAACATTTTCCGTGTATGCTGGCCGCTTGTGGCAACACGAAAATCCATCTCTGACTAAGCACCTACAGGCTACCTTCCTCCACAAGCACAGCTCGCAGATAAAATTAAGTATACCTTCATTTATTATATCATAGCTCTTTTAAAAACTTGTACCCATTCATTGTACAGTATACATTTGGTACTTTGTTTCAGTTCATATCTGCATATTCGCTATATTGCCACCAAGTCAGCCAACCCTTTCCATAAGCAAGAATGCTGCAGCAGCCGAGGAACCGGACGACGTTCAACGGAATCTATCGATACCAAATACTACGTCCCGTATGAAGCTTGGCATAGATATAAAACACCTGGTAAAATTCTCATGGAAAGAATATGGTTTCACTTAAACCACCTGCAGTCTTACTAAGATAATCCTGCAATAAAGAGAATGACCTACAGACTGTAACCCACATCACCGCTACCCTGATGTCTCCCCAACTCCAAAGCAGGTTTAAAGTACATCACCGTGTGGAAAACAAACCACTCTGGGGACATTCACACGTGCCGAAAGAAGCAAGTTGTGACAGGAAGATAAGGTGCTCTGGGAATATTTCATACACTGAAGACAGTTTAAAAAAATAAGTTAATTCACCCACTAGAGGGGGGAAAAGAGCTGAGTAACTCCATAATTGCACAGTACATATTTCCCAAAGTCCCCAAACAGTTGCTGATGTATTGGTCAAACCACTGTGCTCTGCAGGTGGTGAAGTGACAGTTCATTATTTTCAATGCATCTAACACTAATAATACCCACATCATTCGTATTTCCAGAGGCCTCTGTGAGGCACTGCCTGGATTATGCTCCGCTCTGACTCCTCATAGAGGAGTGCTGACTCTGTAGCTCCACCTGCAGGCCATCCGTCACATCACAGGCACTTGAAAAACAGGAGATGCTCCCTCTGGTGTCGAGTCACAGGCACTGCAGGCCCGCTCCTCCACAGCACAGGGGAAAAAGGCAGCCAGTCCTGGAATGCATATCGGTAAGGCAAGAAATCCAAAACCCAGTGCCCTGTTTCCCTTGCACCATCTCACATGGGCGCCTCGTTCGTCTCCGTGGGCTCTGGACCGGCCCGTATTTGTGCAGGATTCGCCGAGCTGTGGTAATAGGCCAGGAAGGGTCGCTCCGACGCGCATGTGCGCATGGCCTGGTAGGTGTGCTGCAGCAGTTGCGGAAAGCGGGAGGTGAAGTAGGAAACAAAGTCATCGGGAATGGAGCCCAGAGTCTCCTGTACGTCCTCAGGCAGCTCCCTGTAGTGATGCTTCTGTTTTTTCGGGAGGGGAGGGGAGGGGAGGGGGGTGATTGGTTATGTTTTGCTTTTGCATGTTACCTATCAACACACATTTCAGACACCGCAGTTTTATTTTAATGAAATGGTCACCGAAATAAACACCACAGTCTCCGTCTCTGGTGGCTTTCTCTGCACACTTGTTGCGCTGAGGAAAAAAAAAAAGCACTCAAGAAAGACCAACTTGCCTTATTCCTCATGGCACGGAGAAGATCCCTGGCGGATCCCCCCTTATATGACCGGAACTTCCTCAGATCTGCCAGGAGACGAGTGTTGGAATTTGAAGTGGGGAGGGACAGTTACACATCAACATCGATATTCATGTCCTGCACGTGCACACACACACACACGCAGGTACACGCACACACGCGCGCGCACGCAGGTACACGCACGCACGCACACACGCACGCACGCACACACGCACGCACGCACACACACCTGTCTGCAGAGGCACAGTAATGTGTTCCCTCCAGTCTCCCTTCACCACCGCCCTGCCCCCCCTCTCCAGCTGCCGCACGATTGGCCCATCTAGCGGTTCTTTCTCTATCCTGTCGCTGACATCCTGCGGTGGAGAAAAGCAGAGTGCAGACATTGAGGCTTGAGCACGTGTGACGTGTGTGTGTGTGTGTGTCTGTAGGCACCTGAGCCAGCCTGTGGGGGGAGGGGCGGCTGACCTGGAAAAACTGCAGCTGCTTTTCCAGGCTCCAGAAGAACGGGTGCTTGAGCACGCTGTCCGCCAACGGCCTTCGCTGAGGCTCCATGCTCAGCATCTGCAGGATCAGGTCTGCAGCGACTATGTCATCTGTACAGGACACGCAACAGCCTACAGCTCAGTCTACAGCCCCTCTGTTCACCATATTTCTACCCACCATAAATAAATAACTCCATAACATACAAACACATTAACCATCCATCCATTTTTCTATAACCTGTTTGTCCTAAGCTGGGTCGCAGGGGTCCAGACCCCATCCCAGAAGCTAGGGTGGGGTGCCAACCCTCATTAACTATAATACCAAATTCACTCTTAAATCCAGTTAACTTCTTGAAAGCACTTTGCAAAGAAACTCTCCCCCAGGTCACTGACCGTGTCTGTCCGGCTGGAGGCTGTCCAGGCTGCAGGCCCCCGCCAGGATGTTGGCTTGCCGCTGCAGTGACTTGCCGAAGGGGTGACTGCCTTCCGACACGGCGTAGTAAAACACGCAGCCCGCCGAGAAGATGTCAACCGCACACGTCTGTGGGGGGGGGGGGAACAGCGGCGGCCTGACTGTGAGCACGCCTGGCGACGTGCCGGACCAAGCGGACAGCAATCCAGCACGCGCCGCCATTGGTACTCACGGGATTGGCCGTGCTGTCCTCGCTGAGGACCTCCGGGGCGATCCAGCCCTCGGTACCGGGCACCCCCGACCTCCTGCTGAAGCTGTGTCTGCCCACAGCCAGCTTCTTACACAGGCCGAAGTCGGAAATCATGGCCCTGACCCGGCCGTGTGCGTTGGGCATGGACACCAGGATGTTGTGGGGTTTCAGGTCCCTGTGCACTGGAAGGGGGCGGGGTCAAGACACCAGTGAGACTGGGGGTGCAGTTTCACACAGACCATGTGCTCATGTACCTGACCAAATTGCTTTCAGGAACAGCTGCAAGCATGGAACACTTCAGCGCAGAGATGGCCAGTCTTATCCAGAAAAGGCCACTGTGTATGAAGGTTTTCACTGCAAATTAGATTACTAATTAAAGGACTGATTGGCCGAACAGTCCTCACACCTGGGTTTGAACAGCTGGCCTAAAGGTTGCCCCAGAAACCTGCATACACGCTGGGCCTTTGCGGATAAGACTGTTGGGAGTTATGGAAGTCAGCGGAGAGCAAGGTGATCAAACAGGAACATGAGGGCCAAACGTGCTACAAACTAGCCGCCCGTCCAGCACTTACCGATGCTCAGCGAGTGGAGATGCGCCAGGCCGGACATGGTCTGCTGCAGCAGTGACACCGGCTCCAGGCCGTGCCGGTCGAAGTCCTTCTGCTCGACGTACTGAAGGGGGGCAAACAGGAGAGAGCATGCGGTGATCTATGATCTGATCACGGTCAGCTTTGCTGGTGATGGGGAGATGTTCACTTCAGACATATCCTGGGGCGTTTAAGACCGAGGACGGGGGCTGAGATTTATGGCCAGACCAGGAGGCCGAGGCGACCCGTCTGGTACCAGGGGAAAGGCAACTGGAACCGGTAAGTCAGAGAACAGGGAGTCTCAGTGGGTCTCCCAGAGGGCGGGTGGGCGGACGGTCCGCACACCTCCTGCAGCGTGGCGGCGCACAGCTCGATGGCGATGTAGTGGAACTGCCGCTCCTTCTCGGTGCAGAAGTAGCGGATGACGTTGGGGTGCTCGTCCGACTCGCGCAGAAGCTGAACCTCGCGGTCGGCGAAGCTGAAGCATTCCGGAAGGATCCTCTTCACTGCCACCGGCCGGTCATCAAACTTACCCCTGTGCAGCGGGGAACGTGATAAACGCCATTTAGCCGGTATTCTCTACTCAAACTTTGCACGAGATTTCAGACCTGGCTAACCTGGCCCGGTTAAACAACTATGCCAGCAGAACAACACTAGTTAAAGTTCCACCAACAAACTACTGATGATGCATCTCCCGTCAGACACTTCTGTGTTCATCTGAGCCTGATCAAACATGCAGAGAAAAGTTCATCATTGCTCTGACTTACTTGTACACAATAGTTCCCTCAGCTCCATGTCCCAGCACATTTTTAGGGTTGAAGGTAATGTTTCCGACCCGGATGCAGTTTGAATCTTCATCTGAAGAGATGAAACAAAAATAGTTTATCCTAAGGACAATTCTGTCCAGAGCGACTTATTAACTAAAAAAGCTTGGGGTCTGTTAGCATCCCTGCTGTAGCCAGGACTATGGGCCTTGCATAACAGCCAAATGGGATTCAATCCCATGACCTTCTGGATACAGACACAGACCCCTAACCTGCTGACGTACACACCATCCCGATAAACCGGGGCCTGGTACCGCCCTAGGCAATGAAGATGAACTGATAATCATGGTACCTCCTTCCTCATGCTCGTTGGCCGAGCCACTGATCTCTGACACCGACAGGTTGGAGTGGTTGGAGGCCCGGGGGGTGAGGCTCGGACTGCTTTGGTTGGAGCCCTCGGCCCGTGCTCTCGCCGCGTCCAGGAAGTCCCCGTCCAGGGGCATGTCGGAGGGCGGCTGAAAAACCAACTGCTGCTTCTGGATGAGTTCCAACTTCTCCTCCATCTGCCTCTGGAACTGCTGATGTTGCAGCTGCTGCTGTTTATGTACGGTCTGGGGGGGGGGAGGGGAGGAAGCGCCGCAAAAGCAGCTCAGGTCAGGGTTTTATTCATTTCCCCAGTTCATATATATTTTAATCTACAGAGAGAAACTGGAGTGATATACTGCCACCTGGTGGTCTGTTCACGTAACAGCAGCAAAGACTGCTTGGTACCCAAGTTAAGGTTACAGCCCGTACCTTTGGGTACGTGATGACGAAGGCCAGCCAGCCAGCCAAGAGGAAGGTGCTGAAGATGATGGTGGCCATGTCCTTGAGCATGCTGTCCACGGGGGCCTCCACCCGCACCTGCTTGGAGGGCTTCTCCTGGATGGAGGTGGCCGATGATTGAGCCGCATCGTCGCCCATATTGCTTTCGTTCACCTTCTGCCAAGAGGGGGCCATGCAGATGTATTAGAGACTTGGCTATTTCATACATGTATCTCTTTTCTCATAGACGGAGTGAGTCTGTATACTCATGTTACACGTGTCTGTGTACTGGTCATGTGACTTGAGTTTAAAGTGTTATTCTGAGACACGGACATGGAAAAATAACTAACAAGGAATCGCTGACAGCTTCAGATATTAAAACACCAATTTATAACTTAAAGGTACTCGTCTAAATAAAGTTATCAACGTACAGCTCTGGAAAAAATTAAGAGACCACTGTATTTAAGAATCAGCATTTCTAAATCCTGGTTTAATCCTGGTTCTGCTGGCAGAAGCCTACACTGAACTGAACCTAACATGCTGCTTCCAGGCTTGAAGACAGCAGCACACAAGGACAAAGTGAGGCAGGAGACACTGGCAATGACCAAAAACCAGCCAGGTGGAGGGCAGCAGCGACCTTCTAATGCCATAGATGAACGTCAACTCATCCAATAGTGCATCATGAATCAGAGGATGACCTCAAGTGAGAATGTGTAACATTAAGCGGTTTGATGTGCATTGCCAGGACAATTCATAGCAGGCTCCTAGAAGCAGGACTGAAGACCCATAAAGCAAGAAGCCATAAAGCAAACTCTTCATCAATGAGAAGCCGGGAAGAACCAGGCTGGAGTTTGCAAATAAAATGTATATTTTACACATACCCATAAATTGAGCAATGAGAGAGACTAAAAAATTTACTGTGGTCTCTTAATTTTTCCCAGAGCTGTATAAAAGAACAGGGCTAGAAACAACCCAAACAATTTTTGTTTTTAGTTATTTTTATTAGTAGTATTTTTGCCTTTCCAGTTAATCAAAATGCAGGAATAAAATTCATCAATTGTAAGCATAAAAAAAAAGATTTAATCTCCCATAAATAAGGCCACACCCAGTCCTGCTCACTCTATCTATTACCCCCTCCTTACAAAAAGCCGAGTGACGCACGAGGCCCTGCAGACCGCCAGGTGGTCTGTGGTACGGAGGCCACAGACACCCAGCCCTTGAATATCAAAGACGCCCATTCATCTCTGGTACTGGTAATGACGCCAGCGCCCTCCCCGCAGGGGGCCGGGCAGCTGTCCCCCCCCCATTTCACGTTTCAGCCCTACCTCCCCCCCCTCCCGGGCGTGGGCGGTCCACAATGTCAGGCCCTGACTGATCTCTGACAGCAGCTTTAAGACCTACAGCAGACCCTCCTCCGATCTCCAACCTTGCTGCGGCCACCTTACCAAACATGCCGGACTTTGTATTCATCTGCTTGTGTTGTACTGCAAGCTGCCTCAACCCGGCCTTATCTACCTATGAGTGCCTTGTACCTTCTCTTTACCTCCATCACGGTATGAACGGGCCTTTTGATGGCCACCGTTTTCCCCGACAAATACGGTACCACCATCTAATAGGACTAGACCACAAAGCCACTATAATATAAAAGGACTTTGATGATATATATATATATATATATATACACACACTCAGCAAAAAAAGAAACGTCCCTTTTTCAGGACTGTGTATTTCAACAATAATGTTGTAAAAATCCAAATAACTTTACAGATCTTCATTGTAAAGGGTTTAAACAATGTTTTCCATGCATGTTCAATTAACCATAATCAATTAATTAACATGCACATCCGAATATCACACCTACGTGACAGGTACAGGATGGCCACAACAACTGCCTGAGTCACACCAGGAACACACAAGCCCTCAGTCCAGCCTCTCTCAGCCTATTGCGGACAGTCTGAGCACTGATGGAGGGATTGTGTGTTCCTGGTGTGACTCGGGCAGTTGTTGTGGCCATCCTGTACCTGTCACGCAGGTGTGATATTCGGATGTACCGATCCTGTGCAGGTGTTGTTACACGTGGTCTTCCACTGCGAGGATGATCAGCTGTCCTTCCTGTCTCCCTGTAGCGCTGTCTTAGGCGTCTCACAGTGCGGACATGGCAATTTATTGCCCTAGCCACATCAGCAGTCCTCATGCCTCCCTGCAGCATGCCTAATGCACGTTCACGCAGATGAGCAGGGACCCTGGGCATCTTTCTTTGGGTGTTTTTCACAGTCGGTAGACAAGTCTCTTTAGTGTCCTGCGTTTTTAGAACTGTGACCTTAAATGCCTACTTTCTGTAAGCTGTTAAGGTCTTAACGACCATTCCACAGGTGCATGTTAATTAATTGATTATGGTTAATTGAACATGCATGGAAAACATTGTTTAAACCCTTTACAATGAAGATCTGTAAAATTATTTAGATTTTTACAACATTATTGTTGAAATACACAGTCCTGAAAAAGGGACGTTTCTTTTTTTTCTGAGTATATATGTAAAAAAAAAATGATTTTATGCTGCATGCTAATCACCTCCTCGATCGGCTCCTCCGTGCTTGGAGGGATGACGTTGCCTGGCTGCCGTGGGAAGCTCCCAGGGAACCTTTCCAGAATCTTCTTGTGAGCGTTCGGGGGGGTCTCGTGGTGACCTAAGAAAACAATACAGGGGAGAACGCGGTCCAGCATACTGTAGTCCCTCAAACACCCCACTAAATCATTAGCACGTCTTGTGGTCTCCCACCAGCAGGAGGAGGAAGAGCACACATACCGATAAGAAGCAGGTAGTTGCTCATGAAATTGAAGCGACTGCGCTGCTTCAGGCCGTCGGTGAGCTTGACGTCAATGCTGGGGGTGATGACACACTCTTTGTCATCCTGGATGGTGAATTCTGACTGGCTGGGGCCCTCGAGCAGAGGAAAGGTGCTACCACGAGGCTAACAATGCAGAAAACTTGCGGTTACTGTTCTTTTTTTGGTTTTTGGGCAGGCTTAGCGGAGGTCCCCTCCCCGTCTTGACTTCGGTTTGAAGTAGACGTGGAATATAGCAAAAACTGTACTAAACCATCAATCCCCTCCACCCACCTGTGTGGCCCAACACATCCACAAATGTTTTAGCTGCTGCATCAACAAAGGTTACAGAACTAGTGAATAAGGTTTTCTATTCAAGATGACTGTAGATCCTTCACATCATCCTCATGGTCCATAAACCCTCCTTAACGCAATGGCAAGGAAAGAGCAAGTGAAGTAAGGCTAGTGAAATCACTTCACCTCTTGCAGACTAACCTAAAAGTTGTATGGTGTGCCAAACAGTTATTTTATGCAAGGCCAGACAAAACACAAAAGTCACTTGTTTTTTTTAATACCTTGGATTATGGGTGTGCTTTTAGTGTGTCACTTACCACAACAGTGACACCATCGTGCACCAAGGATGGGGACGCGTATAAGCTGGTGGAGTACTTTCCCACGTAAAGCGTGGACCTGGAGGAGGGATAAAAACAAACAAACAAATAATGTGTAAATGCAACTGCTTAGAGACAGAGTTTTCCTTTAAAAAACAGCCCAGAAAACACAATTCAGGGGCTGGTTGCACGAAACACCTTCAAGTCAAGATTTTCCTTAAAGTCCAAGTTTAGATTTCATTAGAATTAAGTCGGTTGCACAAAATACCCTTAAGTCTTCCTTAAAATGTTCACTTATGTATTTAAGTTTTTCCCCTTATCTTTGTGTTATACTTAAGAAATCCCATAAAGGTCCCTTAACGGCTGCACAAAAGACCTTAACAACCAAAGTAAGGGTGGGGGGGGGGGGGGGGGTGACATAAGGTACCTCTGACTGTATCTTAACCGCGAGATGGACGAGTTTATGGCGATAAATGAAGAAAATGACCGCATCCTGAGAGGAGAGTCCTGCGACTGGGAGTACCCAATGAATACAAGTATTGACGAGCAATCAACTTTCCCTGACCGACATTCAATTCATAGTTTTATTTATTTGGCCCGTGACGTTTATTATTCATTATCAAATCTGGCTAGCAGATCGATCTTTCAATTTCACAGAATAGAAAACGATGTAACGTTACCCCACTAATAAGTGCTGGCAAGTTTCACTCTGGGCATCGGCAATATTAGACAGAAGTACATCGGTTACGGAATGAATTTTCCCATACAGAAATATGGAGACACGAGCAAAAATGCATTTAATGTAACTGAGATACAACAATAATTTTATCTGCTCATCACTAATGCTCTTTCCCCAGTACTTCCCTGTATCTTCCAAGTTTGGTTGCCGATAAGCACCAGCACTTTCAGCAAAGTTTAATGTTATATGCTCCACTCAGTTGTTCTTAGTCAAGTGAAAAGTTCCTACTTGCAGCGAACACAATACAGCAAGGGGAACAGCCTACATTTTCAGCAGATAAGGATGCAGTGGGGGCAAAATCCGGCTTTTTAATTTTTATTTGTGTTCGTCAGACAAATAATACATTTATTTTGTCGGTCCCTCGCTTAGCTAAGGAGAAATTAACCCTTAAATATCATACTTAAGGGGAAAACTTAACGTGTTTTGTGCAACCGGCCCCAGATCTCCAGGGAAATCCCGGAGGAATAATAGCAGTGAGCCAAGGAACTGACTTCACTAACAAAAAAAACGAGAGCCGTTATGAAAAACAAGTAACTCTGCTGTGTTCAAGTGACGCAATAATAAATAATAATAATAATAATAATAAGGCTGCAAACTTAAACTATCATTGATATTGCAGCAACTCATCTGAACTTGACTGGAAAGTATCTTTGACCGTCATTATACACAAGCTTCCCTTTAAGTCACGCGCTCCCGCTAATGCTAACGGGCTGTAAACGGCGCGTCGAGCTGACGGTAACGGAGACGGAGACGGAGGCGGAGGCACGTACATCAGCTTGTTCTTGGGCTTCTTCTCCTCGGGGAAAGGGTACTTCCACTGGGTGATGCGGCCCACCTCCCCGGACATGAAGGTGAGGTACCGCAGCGTCTCCACGGCGAAGTTGGTATGCGGCACCTTGCGCAGGCCCTCCCGCTGCCAGATGTACATGGCCACCACGGGCGAGTTGTAGTTCTGCACCCAGTGCACGTCGCCCGACTCGCTGTCCACGGTCACCACCAGGCCGTCGCCGTTGGATACAAAGTGGGCCAGCTCTGCTGGGCGGGTGGGAGAGAGCGGGGCCGTGTTACAGACCTCACCCAGAATTCCCTGTCCCCACCCCTCTGTGGGCAGAGCCAGCCCTATGCCAGGCCCTTACTGTATTTGTTGTCGTCGTCGGGCAGCGTGGAGGCGTAATCGGAGTAGGTGGCGTTCCAGCGCAGCTCCCGGCTCTTGGTGTCGTACATCGTGATGGTGTATTCTGGGGGGGAGGAGGGACAACAATGCCATGGAAACAGACACTAAACATCTGAACAGGTCATCCCATTCTCTCCGCATCCGTCCCCACTCGTAACACTGTACGAGTCCATGTCAAATTTCAGCCCTGATCTAATCGATATGGTGTGGTGAATATGCAGCCCTGCAGACAGCTTTGCTCAGGTACTTTTGCGACATGACCCTTAGAAAGCGGGAAATGAAAGCGTGGAAACACAAAATGAACCAAAGACGGTTGGGGTGTCACGGGGTCAGAAATGGAGCGACAGGGAATGGTCCCCAGGGGGCGGGTACCTGTACGACCCAGGTAGAGCAACGAGGAAGAGGGGCAGAGCATCTCAGCAAAGGAGGATGTCAGTGTCTGCTGCTTCTCCCCAGTCAGCGGGTCCACCACGTACCACAGGTCCTGCTTCTTACCTGGAGAGAGACCAACACGGTACATTCTCACAGACTCTCCCATTGTGCCTCCCAGTCATGCAGATCGATCACATTTAACAGATTTGCTTTGCATTCATGCTACTTCGCACGTGTTACTCCTGTCACGTGGCATTCATGGAATTCACACACCTGAAAGCACAGGCCACGCGCTGAGGAAACCCCGAAAAGGATTCCGGTAATATAAAGATTGCATGTTATGCAGGAGCAATTATCACATCGCAAGGACTGCAATACACAGCTGGGTCGAGATTAGGCTTGGATGGCATCTAATTTTTCATAATGTTCAAACACTAAATAGTAAGCAGTGTTATTTTGCAATACAGATCCAGTGTTTGTAAATCCTGGTGATAAGATTCACGGTGGGGGGAGGGGGGGTCCTAATGACAGATCATCAGTAAGTTTGGCTAAAACATTTTTACTCTGTCAGAGAGAACAAAACTTAATTTTAAATGGCTGTTCCTTTCCAGGATTATCTAGCATGTTAAAAGAAAAAAAAAGAAAAAAATCAGTGTAAAAATTACCACTGCTCCTTTTGCACAAGCTCTGCATGGGCTCTTTGAGCCAATCATATTTATTTTCATTACTCTGGTGTGTTGGAGAGAAATTTAACAAAATTGACTCAGGAGAAGAAATGTAAACAAAAAATGGTCCCTAAAAGATTAGCCTTCCACTGTATGGAAATACTTCTGGTCCATCGCACACCCTACCTATGAGTTTTGTTTGCTGAGGGCATTACATGCCCCAGAAGTTTGCTCTGGCAAGTTGATTAACACAACACACAGTTCACCACACTACACAATGCTCTATCCAATGTGGATACACCAGTATTGCACAAGGTACACTAATGAGAGGCCATCTGCATGGCATTATGGGGAGAGAAGCCAGGCAAAGCTGGAGGTGGGATCTGCTAACCTTAAACAAACAGCCGGGCTGCGGGAGGGCAAGGCAGGAGCCCCAAACATACTGCTCAACTGCTGTACTTCAGACCAGTTACAACTGGCACTGCCCAGGGATGAACATCCCAAGCGCTAACCACAGGCTCCCTGGCAAGCTGTCGCTCGCTCACATCAGGCCCCAGTGCATACACAGCGTTCCTAAGCGTGTGGCCATCCACCAAGGGTGTGTTTCAGCATCAAGAACGCAACGATTGTACTTGTGCTCTTGGCAAGAACATTCTTGCCAAATTGCCGCCTAAGAATGAACTCGGGACACAATGAATCATGGCATTGTTCTCGATAGCAAGGATGCAACTGATGCATCCTTGATATTTGGGGCAGGGCAAGACAGACATCTGGGGATTTTTACTGCCCTCTCTACTTCTGTTTGTGAGTATTGGGACAGTACAATGGACGACAACATCGAATGGGTATACAGGAACACAAGAATGGTCAAGTATGCATACTGATGATGGCAAGTCACAGAAAAGCACAGAAGCAAGGGCCCACAGTAGGAAAATGTGACCTTGATTAGGACTGATATCTGGCCTGAAGGTTGTCCAGGACCAAAAAATTATAACAGCATGTTTGCGTAGTCATGACAACAATAAAGCCAATTAAGCAATGCTACATTATACAAAATTTGCATTACATATGCAAGAAATACCATTAAGTACACAAATCCAGCCATGCTCCCCTCTCCCACCACAAAAAGGTGGGGCTACTCATCTTTAATTTCCAGACACATGCCTTTGAAAATCTATGCCTACCAGGTATGAAAGCAATCCAGTACTTAAATATTTTTTATTTTTTTTTTAATTACACATAGATCAAGGTGAATCACAATCGCTAAGCATAAAAGAACCTATGAGCAGCAAATGTCACAGACAATCCCTTTCAGAGACACTTGAATTATTAAATAAATCATCAAAACAAAAAGCAGGCAAGTAAAGATTTGGGTTCTTTTTCATTCTCAGCAAACTGGGGGTTTTGGTCCATCGTACATTTGAAGCTCAGAGTAGTAGAACAAGGTCAGAACCATGACTGAAGAGTCCAGAAATTGTACATAAGCCACTGCCACGGAGCCTTCAGCAGCTTCATCTCTGCTTGGTCCTCCTGTGCTTATGTCATCATTACCATCATGCACTGGGACAGCATCAGACTGCTCGCGCTTGGCCTTACCCATGTAGAGGACCCCGTCAGAGCTGCGACAGGGTGACGCCTGAACAAGCTCGGGGATTGTGAAGGGCAGTTTCTGTAAGGAGTAGGAGGCAGGGTGACAAATTAGTTCCAGGAAATTCTGGGTACTGACCTTGACTGTGCAGACGTCAGTAAGCCATCTGTTACAGTACAGTTCATTTGGAAAATTAATGAGCATTTACAATCTATTTTGTAACCATACAGCAGTATTTCAACAACTGTGAACCAGATTAATTTCCTTTACTATATGCTATGCAAAACAGGATGAGGTTTGGCACAGGACACAGGCTGCTGGTATCCATAATGACCAGTGGCGGCCAGTGTCAGGATAAGCTGGCTGGTGTCCTCTCACCGTCAGTCCCTCGCTGTTTTTCCCCCCCAGGGAGTATAGGCTGCCATCATTCGGATCGGGCAGAAACGCGGGCCTGTACCGAAAAGAGAGGCGACATGCCGCTCGTCAGCTACCCGCCCTTTTATTTTCGTTTCAGCACAATGCTCGATGTCGACGTTTACGTAAAAGTATATCGCAAGCATACATCGGGCCTTTGGCACAGGATACTGACACAGACGACACGGATTGTGTGAAAAGGGAAATGGCCAAAAAAAAAGCAAAAAACTGAGCCACGTGAGAAAGAGCGAGTAGAGCAAGGAGGCCACTTACTCTGTGACGTGTGTGGGCACCTGAAGCACAGGATCTGAAAGGGGTGGGAGACAAACATTAGCTTTTCACTTTCGGCTCTGGCATGGAAGGCATACAGAATGCAAAAGACTGCAGCATTGAGTTTTGTTTTTTTTTTTATCATCTACCACTTCCCTTGACTACCCTGCCAGTCCTCTACTTTATCATCATCCCCTGCCAATACCACGTCTCATCTCAACTCAGGGTGTCTCCCTGCAGTCTGAGACCGACACGTATCACTTGGCTTAAAAACCCATTTCCGAACAATGGACCATCACCCCATATCTCCTTTCTCTTCTTCCAATGCCTGGGGGTAAACAGAACAATGGTGGGACCTATTATTTTTTTAAGGATAATTCCCTGGACTCCTATCAGCTTGGCTTTAGAACTTGACATTCCATTGAAATCAACCCAGCCTCAGTTGCACAAGCCCTGCCTCTCTGCCAGGACAATGTCTGCCCGTCACTTTGGTGCAAACCCTGGCCCACCGGCAGATGCCCCTTATCTTCTATTTCACTGGCAGTGGCATAAACTGGGCTTCCTCCCCTCTTACTGAAGGGAGATGATCCCCTGGATCAGAGGGAGACTCCTCACAGGGAGACTCCTCACAGGGAGACTCCTCACAGGGAGACTCCTCACAGGGAGACTCCTCACAGGGAGACTCCTCACAGGGAGACTCCCAAGATCCCACTGATGCTCCCAATGACACTACAGTTGCTTCAGTGTATGATTTTTTTTGATCACTTTAACACTAGATAACCTACCTAAACAAGTAACAATACATACAATTTGTCATTTCATTGTCATTCAACTTTAATAAAAATTAAGAAAAACCAACAACAGTACAATGATCACAGCACTTTTTAATATATATTATTTTTAATATAGCAACTCTCACCCAAATAACAGGTTGTGCAACAGATCGATTGGTAACGATCAGACACATTTGAGTAACTGCCAGGCTGGACACACCAAATGACGATGGCGTGCGCTACTTGTATGGAGAACCTGTTTGAGGTGGTACAATGGGTGAAAGGAAAACATGTGCTTTGTGTACAGAACGAGCCTGGCTGGTGGGGCGGGTTCAGCTCACCAGCGGCATCCTGTCTGGTACATGAATGGTACAGGAGAACAGAGATGCCATAAGGGTTAATATTGAAGTCTCATTTCTGGCACGACTGACTGCAAACAGTGGGATCTGTTTTAGGGCTGGGCCTGGTATCTCGCTCGTGTTTTTTTCATGCCAGTAATGTCAGAGCCCCAACCTGCAGCTGGCTTCCCAGAAAACTGTAGAATCTAGCTAAGGACTGAAGATCACTAGGAAAGCTCACAAAACCTAAATTAAAAGGTAAGACGACAAAACACGAGGCCCATAAAACACAGCAGTTGACTCCTTATGCCTTATTGTTAATGATCTATGGGGGCTACAGCAGTGATAAAGAAGTCTGCAGTTACAGGCCTCATTTGCAAGCAGTCATCAGGGAAGAATGTTCTGGAAACCGTACGATTCTGACTGAAGCACTGCGGTAGGAGGCGATGACACAGTCAGTAATTGCATGGCTTGTGAACGTGAGGGATGCGATGGTTTCCCAGAGCTAAATGGCGGCTTTCCGTCAGAGTGCTCAGCTACAGTGGGGGGTGGCATCAGCTTGCTGGTTCTGAGCTGAGAGCACGTTAAAGGCAGTTTGAACTAACACCCCAGATCCCAGCTTCAGGTCTGCTTCCCTATACAGTATCTACAGCTGAGACATATCCAATTTACAAGTGGACCAAGGTCTATACCTTGAGGGACCACACCTCTACAAAAGGGATCCAGAGGCTATGATGAATCACTACAAACTGAGACAACTGAACTACAGCTGCATTTTAAAACAGGACCTCATAACTCAACTGCAAAACAGCGAAAGAGCCACAGTCAAAATAACTAATGCTAAAGATTACTTCACAAGGTCATTCTGTTAGCAAATGCTATTGGCCTGATCGGGATATCTTAATGAAAGTGAATGTTATCACTGCCCCTTCATATCAAACAATAAGGACTAATTTGCACTACTACTTTCATTTGCCGTCTTTGTACTGCTCTCTTGGTTCATTATGAATCTTGGATGGTAGCTCTCCATGAGCAGGTTTGGGCAGCCCTGCCTTAAGCTGTTCTCCAACTGGCTGTCATTAACATCCAATGACAAGTTGGTAGATCAGTATTTTCCTATGGAGATGCATTAGTGACCTCAGTTTCAGAATACAGCACAATTTGTGCAAATATATTTCATACACACCCAGAAACAGCCGTTGAATATAGGCATAAGCAGCTAATGTAAATAAAACAGATTTTAGACCAGGTAACATTGGGCAGACAGGGTAGCGGGAGACTACAGATGTTCCATAAGGACCCTCTGGAGTAGCCCAAGGAGCCAGGTCATCCAGGATCCAATAGCGATGCCCCCTGTACCTTCTTTTAGGGTCCATTTGATGGAGCCTGAGCTCTTGCTGACAGCATGTAGGTTCCCTTCCAGCGTGGATACAAACAGGAGGTTTTCAGACAGGGACACAGTATTTGCCCAGCATGGAACCTGCGAGGCAAACACACATCTTAAAATGCAGATTCATGTCAGGAAGCCGTCTGATTGCTGCTGATAGACACGGAAAAACAGTACTGTTGCCACGGTGACAAGAACACTAATGGCACATTAGCTCATGTAACTGCGCGCATTGTAACATCATGAGCTAACTATAGTGCTTATTCGTGCATGGTTTTCAAATAGCTAAAATAAATCAATTAACAGGACACACAAAATTCAGTCACCCAAAATAACGTTAAAAAGTGAATCATGTAGAAAAATCCCTCTAAGTTATGTTTTTAGTTTGATACTCTAAAAACAATTCTCTTGGGGTGAGGCGTCTTCTGTGAATTTCACATTCGGAAAGCATGCAGAACACCACTGCTGACCCTAGGAGCTCATCCAGGTGACACTCAGTAACCCAACAGGATGCTTTTTGGGGGAGAACCACGAGGCACTCTCACAAGTGCACGCACGCACAAACGCGCACACTGCACCGAATAACATCCCGATTCTGCGGGGAGTTCATGAAAGTAGTGCAGGCATGTAAGCATGCGGCCCCAGTGTGACCTCATACACACCGAGAGCGCCATGAGGGTCCGCCGTGCTGCTGGTGAGCGAGATGCTAAGACCAGCAGCTACTTCAGGCCACATCACACAGCTTGGGAGCAAAAAAAAATACAAAATCAAAATAAAAAAATAAATCAAACAGGATCACCAGCTTCATATGCAATACTGGTAGACAGAAAAGAAGCACGTGATTTAGAGCACCTTCTCCATGTGCTTCTCCATGAGCTACGGAAATTCACACGGATCTCCAAGCCCGGACTCCATCAGCTAAACCTGTCTGCTTTACTGCATTTCTCATGGATGACACAGTACCTTCCTTAAGAGGAATGTGACAGAAACACAAACCATTAAGAACTGAGAACATTCAAGAACATGGACATGCTCCAGTAGTATCTGGATGACAACAATTTTCTGTTTATAATTAAGCAGTGCACAGCAGTTTTAATGACGTATTTGACATAGTGGTTTTAATGAGGTATTTGACATAGTGCATAAACCTGTTCAGGAAATACTGTAGGCAAAGGTATAAGACGCCAGGTGGGAAAAGATAAAGGCCAACAAAAGACCTGTTTATTAGGTCACAAGTCCTAATAGCTACAAATACAGTAAATGGCTCCTTCCGTTCTTTTGCACTAAATGTTAAGCAGCGGAACTCAAAGTCTCCTCCTAAACACAGCCCCCCCCCTTCATCCAGGGTGTACGCTGTACCAACACATCCCTGTTTTTTGCAAGGCCCCACCCCTGATGTCCAAGCAAACAGCAAGCAGAAATGTTACTCTTGTTTGCACTCCAGTAATCTTATGCACACATACACCTGGCGGGAGGGTGGGGGGTCCATGTCATTAGCCTGCACCTGCAATCGTTCCCATCATACTGCAGGTGTGTGTGGAGGGCAGGATATGGACATGGGGGGGGGGGGGGTGGCCTGGTGAAACACCCATCCGCTGGCGCGAAGACACACGAACCAACTTTCCCAACTTCCGACTGGATCCACGCTCACGGCTGCGATGTTGTAATGTGCTTTCCAGACACAGCCAAAGCCATCGCATAACTGTTACACAATGAACAGGAACACGCCGAAAAAACGAATGCGGTCACCTGTGGGTCACATTTGGGGCAGGACAGCTAGATCCAAGCTGGGACATGACTAGGGAGCATGTGGCAATGTGTTTACAAGCACTTTGCAGAATTACAGCGTGTTAAAATGTTTGTATACTGTTTTGGAAGAAGTGATCACTGACCCCATTGGTCAATGGCCAACCGATGAATAGAAAATTCACTAGTTCCAAAATCACGTTCACAGAATTACACTTTCAGTTCCACAAAAAAAAAAAAAAAACAACCCAGAAACTCAGAACTAGACAAATTATAAAAAGATTTAGAGAACAAATGCAGTATGTTCCCTTTTCAAGTGAACTTAAAAATTTAAGTTATAAGCGAGACCCAAGGCATGACAAAATTAACCGAAAACAGCAGTGGTTGAGTTTCTAGAGAACCACATGGAGATTCATCAACAAATGGTGTTTCTCTGGTACTGGGGACTGTTCTCTTATATTACCGAAACTCAGCTGCAGAAACAACCTGGCCAACAGAAAACCTAAGCGAAACAAGACAAGGCCATATTACATTCAGCCAGCCCAGTATCAGGCTTCTAAATGGGACACTTACCTTCTCCCATACTCCCATCATCACCACCATTAAGGTTATTGTTCCGAAAGAATCTTAAAATATTGCATTTATATTCTGAAAGAAAATGCAATATTAACTGTAATGAACAATTTGATCTTCAACGGATAGTACTGTTAGTAATTAATATTACTATGCTTTACTACTCAAATATTTTACTTTGGTATCCAAATCTAACACCTGTGTGTGCACGGAACAAAGAGTTTAAGCTTGCACAGCATTTGTTAAGAAATTTCATCTTAAAAACAGGATGCAACCACTACCTTCCTTTAGATACCACAGATTAAAAAAAGCAGGATGTTTATTAAGATGCACTTTATAGTCGACAAGTTCCCAAGAAAGCCTGCCTCACACCTTTCAGAGAAACGCTGCGTAATCCAGAGGTACCTGTAATTGATTCAGGCTCACGCCGCTTTTTCGGAAGGCAAAACTAGACCCCCGTCACATCGGAAACATCCCAGGTAATGAAATGCAAAAGGACAAACCGGGCAGCTGAAGCCTGTGCTTTAATCGTGATCGGAAAATGCACCAGTGTATGCCTTAAGCACAGCAGGGTTTGGTCTGCACAAGGGCTGAAAGTGAGCCGATGCTACACAGCCAACAGCTAGGTCTTTCTATTGGGGTTGAGCTGGAATTAGGACGCTGACCTCCGCTGGTACTGGGCTCACACTGCACCGCTGCTCCCTCTGCACCTGAAGATAGCTCATACTGTTACGCCTGCAGCCCTTATCCCTCGCATGTCTATTGCGACTGTGGTTCGGTCCTCGGCCACAAAATTTATCAACTAAAGAATTGACACAGAAGGCTTCCAGAAGTGAACAAATTTAGAATTTTTTTCTGGTGAACCAAACCTATGAGAGACAGCACAAGGTACAAGTCAGGGGTACACTGCAATCAGGATACCCCGTGGAAAGCCAAACACACTATGGGCTATTTATACACATAAAAACACGGCATAGCTTTGGACTGTGGGAGGAAACCTACAGAACATGCAGGGGGGATTCAAACCCTCACGCTGGAAGGTGTAAGGCACACTCAGGCATAGAAACATAAATGATTAATGTAGAAATACACACAATGCAATAGTTACTTTGGCTGCTCAAGGGTTGCGAATTGGGTGCAGAAGCCTGCATGGTCCTCAACACCGAAAACGTTAATTTTGACCTTCCTGCCCCATTACAAAAAGCTGCAACACAAAATGAGAATAACTGATCAATGCCTTTGTTTTCCCTGATCAATTATTACAGCCATTTCACTGTCACGTTGTCGTGTAGGCATGCAGCATGACTAAAAGTTGAAGGACGAACACCGTCTTCACACCCATATGTGTTTGTTTTTCCTCTCCACGGTCAGGGCGTCCTTACACCGCTGATACTCTGGTGCGCGGCACTTTGCCCCCATCGCCGATAATTACAGATTCCGCATTTTCTGGGTCAGCATAACACACGTGCAGGAGCGTAGGGTTGTGACTGATGCTGCTGCTGCATGGATTCATACATTGTAATAACACATACGAATGGACACACATGGCCTCCTCTGAGCCAGCCCCAGCCACATATGCGATCTATCCGCGACTGCAGACAGCTGGCTCACTAACACTGAGTCCCCATCGCCTAGACGCATCTTGGTTTCTCAATAATGAAACGAGATACGGATTTAGCTACAAATAGCAATGACTTTTTTTTGCAAGTACGGGATGTGTACACACATTTACCCACATGTCAAACGTTACTCTCATGACTTATTTGAAAAGACAGCATGCCAAGGCGAAATAGTCTCAACGCTGCCTTCACGCTAGTAAATAAGACGAAGCCATTAAAAATGTCCGGGCATAACCATAACACGACTGACACCTCGGCTTGCAGGCGCGTGGCTGCCTGACAGGGGGATTCTTCTAATCGCCGGCTGAGGTTAAATCGGGCAACACATGGAATTACTACTACGCAGGACCTCCCCAGCTACGGTTTACTCGGTTTTTATTATTAAAGCCCGTACACTGGTTACTCCACATACAGCATTCGTGAAGTTAATCGTGCCAGTTACTGTAACTGGCGACCATAAATGTTTTTTCACGGAAAAACGGCAGAGCAGATCAGCGCAGTCCTTACCATCTGGAGCGGGTTCAGCAACGTGAGAAGACACCAGGCGAGGGCCCAGCTGGGGAGCCTCCCGGCCATCTCCGGCGACCTAACAGCGCGGACAGCGCGGCGGCTCAGCTTCCCATAGACCGAAACGTAAAATGACGAAAAAGAGAAACGTTCAAAGAGTCCTCGAAGGCTGCGATATCATGGGCAGAAACATTGGTAATGGCACACCGGGCACCGCCAACTCCTCCATTAATCTCCGTGAGGCTCCTTCCTGTGTGTTCAAGACGCATGCGCACGGCTGCTAGGAGAGTCGCCGACAAAAAAAAAAACAATTAAAGGCAAACTGTTGGCTGGAATGCAATATTTGGTTATATCCGTTTGCTCGTTTATTTTTCATATACTTACGTCATTGCGACGTATATTTATTAGAGACAAGTAGCGGGAGAGTAATGTTTCATGTGAATTTTCAGTGTTTTCCCAACCAGATTACCCATATTTTTCGGAATTATCGTTGATAATAACCCCTTAGGAGTTTCTAAACTTATTCGACTGAAATTGAACTCGGCACAATATTTTTAAATCACTGCCTCCATTAAGAAAGAAGCGAGGCAAAGTGCCAGCACAAGAACAACATTGCTATAATAACATCCAATGGCTCATACAATGATGAACATTTTTGTTGCATTATCGTGGTTGTTGTTTTAGTTGTTATTGTTGTTCGAAAACCCACGGAACACATGACTGACAGTAAAACAAGGTCCAATGAAAAGGGGTGGAACCAGAAAAAGCTGTTAGAACCGGCCTGGACAATTATTTTCCTTGTAGGGCCAAAATTGAGTCGGCTGGGACCATTTTTAATGATTTTTTTCATACCCCCATGAACTGCAATAATAGACTCGGTAGATTGAACAGTACATTTATTATTAATTCAAAGAAAGACTTATGGATAAAAATCACTTCATCTTCATTTACTTGAACACAAAACCCATTTATTCCATTTTAATGATTGTGTAGGCCAGTAAAAATAGCTCTGTGGGCCAGATATTACCCACGGGCCAGCTGTTGCCCAGGTCTGGGTTGGAAGATGGATAAAATGGCATGTCACATGACCACTTTGAATGTTTCACAGTTATAACCCAGGTGTCCAAACATCGGACATCTGACCATTTTGAACAGATGGGGTCTTTAATAGGAGCTAAAGTTACTGTGTTGATTCATAAAAGACTGTTTTTCTTCTTAATGGGATCAGTGTAAAAACAGCCCACCCTTCAAAGTAAACAAGATAAGCAGTCAATTAGCCACTCAAAGTTTCAGACAAAGCTTCCTATTTAATCTATTTACTTTACAGTTTTTTTTTGTTACTAGGACAGCTTCTTAGTCCTCTTGTCCATTTACAGGTAATTATTTATTCTTTACCCACCCAAACGTTCCTATCTTTAGTGTGAACAGGAGAAGAACCAGCAACCAGAGGAAGACGAAATCAAACAGTCCCTTGGGAGGACAAGCGTTAGAAGTGGACACAAGTTTCTGTGAGGGAAACGGTGAATGACGCTGGTGTGGAATGGAAGAGGTTGCGGTACCACGAAGGTGGGCTGCATGTCTGGTGACGTCCAGAAGCTCGTCAGGTAGCGCTCTGTCCCCGAAGTGGTGGTGCCGTGATTAGCGCAGTTGCCTCACACTTCTGGAGACCAGTGTTTTAATCCCTGCCCTGGCTCCTTGCGCGCTTGGGGTTTGCATCGTGCTCCCTAGGCCGCAGTCCAAAAACGTGATTTTAAGGTGTGAATATCGTATGTGCCCTGTGATGGATTGGCGCCCTGTCCTGGGTTACTCCCCGCCTTGTGGCCATTATCTCTGGGATAGGCTGCAGACCCCCACAAACCTGTATAGGGCAAGCAGTGTAGAAGATGAATGTGTGGAAAACTTAAATGCTGCCAGGTATGTTTTACTGCATGATTCCACTTTATTGCATCATCTGACATTAGTGATCAAATTGGAAAAATCTATTTGAAATGAAAGTGATTAATAATTGCCACTGTTGACACACCACAATGAAATGTATCCTCTGCATTTAACCCCAATGTGACATAGCAGTAGGCAGCTATTATTTAGCACCCAGAGAGCAGTACCTTGCTGGTTGGGGGTTTGAACCAGCAACATTTCAATCACAAGCATGCTTTCCTAACCATTAGCCCACCACTGCCCCAAAATGTGTTTTTTGTATTTAACCCATATGTGATTTAGCAATGTGCAGCTAATTCAGCAGCCAGGGAGCATTACCTTACTCAGTGGTCAGGGATTCAAACCAACAACCTTCCAATCACAAATGCACTTCCGTAGCCCTTAGGCCACCACTGGCCCTATGCTACAAGACGCCATGGCTTGGACTGCGGCCTGCAGCTTGCCCTGTGTATATGCGTGCACTGCCTCATGCCTCATGCTTGCTGTGACCCTGTATTGCATAAGTGATTTCGATTGGTTATCGTGGTGTCACCCAGTCACATGTTGTTCAGCCTTGATGCAGTTGCCTGAGCAAGGCGGAGGGTGGGGGGGGAGGTGATGTGGAGTGACCTGAAAATTCTGAGCGCCTTCTTACATCACGGAATATGCATTCATGAACATCCTGCAGATGCACTTGGGCCATCAATTTCTCTCAAATTGTATTGGCAATTATATCTAGGTCTTCCAAACCTGCAACTGTCACAATTGCTTTCTTCTCCAAGCATCGATCATCCAGTTCAATTCCAACCAAGCAACCATGTTCATTTAACCAGAACACTACCCAAGCAGCTCCATTTTCCCCTCAATATAAGTGGCTGATGCAACACTTCTATGATCACTTTTCTATTTTTTATTTTGCTTTATCTGGAGCAGTGTATAGCATGCTAGTGAAAGCAGGACGGTGTGAAAGGAAGCTCTCTGTGGCTTACCCAAAGGCACTCTTTAAAATTACTCCCACTTCTACATAGTCAACCAGCAAAGGCTACTTTTTGCATATGCAAATTTCTACTGGATTTTATGTGTAGCTTTTTATATCCTGCTGGTTCTATAGAAGCTAAAGAACTGGACTAAGGAAAGAGTCCTCAAGGAGAGTCCTTGCTCTTTTGCAGTGAAGTGGGTGGGATCCTTTGCTATAATTTACTACAGTCCCACAGTCGGCAGTGATTTCACCATTGGGTCCTTGAGCAAAGCTCTTATTAACCTTGCTTTCAGAATTGTATGTTCCTCTGGTTAAAAGAATCTGCTATTTAAATGTAATTGCCCGAGTAAAATATATAATCATAAATGCGGGTGATACTGAATTCTCAGTGATGTAATAATTTCCATTTAAACATTCAACAGGTTTTAGGGCCGAATAGATATTCTTCAACGGTATTTTAGGGGTCTATTCTTGTCATTTACTTGTATTTAATTTGAATGCATTCATATTAGGATATGATAAAGTAATGGCTAGAAAGTCAACAAATACACAAGATAAGCATGCAGAAGGGATGAAGGAGAAACTTTATTTAAAACGACAAGCCTAAATCCTAGTGATAACTCTGAACCGTGATAGGACGCAACTCTCGGCACATTAGACAACACATTGGTGAATCTCATCCTGGCTGAAAGGAGAAAATAAATATTATTGCACACCCGAAAATGGCATTCTTTAAACTGACATGCAGCCTTCATAAAACATTGACTATTGGTTCACGAAAATACGTGAATAGGAATGTTCCTTCACTGTATCACAAATAAATTAATGGCATAATGAAAAGCAATTTTCTGTTAACACCATAACCTGACGGCAATAATCAAAGTTTTTTTGTTTTTTTTTGGGGGGAGGGGGGGCAAAATGGCAAGGGCAATAGGGTTCTCATATTCAAAAGAAGCACCATTCAACAAATAACACTTGTAACACTACTTCAGGAAAAAGGCATATTTTCAACATAATGAAAACATAAATGAGGAGGCAAATGAACGGTCTTGACACACACACACGGCACTCAACTAGACCTTTCATTAGTCCAATTCTTCAGCACTTAACCTGTCTCAGGTCTTGCTTAAAAGTAGCGATTTCCTGACACACACCCAAGAACCCAGCTCTAAAAAACACCCTACAATTCAATGGAGAAAATTAATACCAAGTTTCAATTTGGAAATAAGCTTTAATTGTCCAGATGCAATCCAAAAATCATTATCATATCAAAAGATGTCTGATTAAATAATTGTAAATAAATAAAAAGTAATTTGATACAAAAAAAAAAAACAATCAAACTTAGCTCTGCCATATAAAACAACCCTAGGAATGCGTTTGGCCTTATAAACTATGCTGACATCAGGAAATCAAGAGGTGTCAAAATCACAAGCATGGGCATTTTAAAGGGCAAGAAATATTAAGTATCTGCCCCTCTGTAGGATCCCCCAAAACCCTCCACCACAAACATACACAGTGCATTTGGGCCAATACATACAGCGACTCGCATCTCGCTTGCCCACGATCTGCCGAAAAGGAAAGGTGTGAAAATTATGTACCGAGTTTGGCAAAAACGATCACTCAAATAAGCCACTACTGTATAAAAATAAATACACTTTAAAGTATAACCATTTCAGAAAAGTGTGCAGGACAATGACACGTTAGTGTTAACAAGATTATTTACTATCTAAATCAGCTTGCGCTCTCACAGTGCTGAGAGATACAGGGTGGCTTGTGTTGGGCAGGGCACAATGATTGTATTTAATCTCTTTTTGAAAGATATGCTATTACCTGAATGGTTCTGCTAATGATAATCAAATAAAATGACCACCAGGAGTTAATTATGGCTATTTTAAAGTCACTAGGTGATGGCATTTAAGTCCTTCATCAGGATACGTTCAGAGAAATGAGGTCGCGCTTGGCATGTCTAGTTCACCTTTGTGCATCTATACAAAGTAGCGAGCATAGAAAACATGGAGGGTAAAAAAAAAAGAAAAAAGCAAAATATAGTAATTGAGGAGGTTGTTGCGTGAAGATCTTGTTTGCTAGCTTTAGTAACTTACACTGTTAATGCAGAACTGCATTTGGACGCAGAACAATGTCAATTGCTCACGAGTCGTCATACATTCATTAAAAAGTGTTAGGCCACTACATTCATCTTTTAGATACATGTAGCTCTACGATCGCTAAGGTGTCAGTTGTCTTTGCGCACCACCCCACTCCCCCCACCCCCACCCTAGAAACCAAACTGCCGACGACACTCACAAATCAAAGACACATCAGTCTACGCGCCGCCCTCGCCCATAAGGTCGACTGTAAGAGTCCCGGTAAGGGGGAGTCCGATGGCAGGGCCGGTTGGTTGGCTGCCATGGATCATGGACACCGGTACCCCTGGATTCTTTCACCGACCGAGGGGGACGTCTCGGGGGCAGGTGGGAGACGGGTGCAAGGGCGTGGCCAAAGACACCCATCTACACCAGCGACTCCAAGCAGCTCGCTTTCCTTAAAACGTTAAGTGCTGAAAGGCCCAGCAGGACACGCTGCCTGATTCGCTCCACACTGGTGGTCCTACCTGGAGGGTCCAGTGCGCTGCTACACCCACGTCAGGTAAACACCAAGACATCATTGCGTCCAACATGACAGGAAAGGCGCTCCGCTCAAAGCCAATGATCAAGCCATCACGGTTCCCTGTTCTAATCTTCTCTCTTCCCCTTCCTTACAGAATAAACACTGATCGCCGCTTTGTGTCCCACACCTTACTTCAGGACATAAGGAGATGGGTGAATGCATTACTGAGGTGCTCCAAAGGACTATATCCCATTTCTTCTAATCAACCCCCTCTAGAAACTAGCCAGGTCACAGTTATAAATATGTCAAAGTCTTTTCTTCATGTGTCCAGGTGAACAGCAAGCAGCAAGTTTGTTACACTTCACGGTTGGGCCGGTTTGACACGGCTCCTTCGAAAGAAGGGCAGCAGGGGGCCGAGAGGTCGAAGCTTAGCGGCCTCCCGTTCTGACAGAGTTGGGCCCCCACCTCCTGCAATGTGGCACAGGTGGCTCTGGGCGTGACGCTCCGGGGGTGGGGGCGGAGGCCACCATTGTTCTCCTATCTTGCCTCTCCATGGCCTTATACTGTAAACAGCCACACTTCACATGTCACCGATGGGCAGCGGCTCTGTCGCCATGGAGTCCGTGTCCTTGGCTGATTCCGTTTCCTCGGCGACGGGGCCGGGGCCGGAGCCGGAGCGGGGGTCCATGGCGGAGTGCATGATGTGGAGCCACACGTCGTCCATATTTGGCATGACAAAGATTTTCTGGACAAGGAAGGGAAAACAAAAATATTTTAAACCATTTGCTTAGTTGATGCATTGCAGAGCCATTTAACACAGTAAAGGTGCAGGGTGACAAAAGGCAAAGAAATGAGGTTCTGTTTGGCCAGGAGAGCTAAACTTAGGTCCTTAGGGACCCCCACACGGTCCACATTTTTAATAATAGCAATAATAATATATACTTTGTTGATCCCTGTGGGAAAAAATTCTTTATCCCTCCCCTAACTTGGCAGCCACCCATGGCAGCACCCAGGGAGCTGGGGGGTTTAAGGCCTCGCTCAAGGACCCCCCCAGACGTGCTGAGGCTGGGGCTCAAACCGACAACCTTCCGATCACAGGCACAGAGGCTTAGCCCCCAGAGCCACACTCTGCCCCTCATAACTGTTACTCCCTCCCAGCTCCCAAGCAAGAGCATGGACTGTCGGGGGGGGGGGGGTCAGGCTGAGAAACACTGGCTTAGGATGGTAAAGGCTATTGGGAGAAAATGGTGCATTGTTCTGGATGGAAGCTGGTAATTACAGAGTAGAACGGAAAGTCACAGACATGCAAGGTCATTCTGAAGCTCTGGGCCGATATGCAGCCATAAATGAACCGGTGTGCCTGTTGATCGAAATGAGGGTGAAGCACTGCTCAGTCCGCAGCGTGAGCATCAGTGACACAAGCCTACCGTCCTGACACAGGAATCATTTCTATTCAACATTTGGTTACAGCCAGCCCATTAGTATATCTCAGACTCACAATAGTGTCTGGGTCGTGAGGTGGCTGTGTACAACAGAACGGATTTATAATCTGATGGTACACTAGTATCATATTCCTATAATGGTTCCAACACACTGACAGCAATAGAAGTATGGAAAGTTGAATAGAAGTATGGAAAGTTGAATAGAAGTATGCAAAATTAAGGATACTTGTCTTGGGCAAGGAAATGAAGCATTCTGACATCCAAAGTAAAAAGGACCCCTGTTATATGGTTACAGGAAAGGGTTTCTTTCCTTTCTGCATCTGGAGGTTTAAATTCAGCAACAGTGCTTCATAAACTCACTAGAATCGGGGGGGGGGGGCTTGTCTCGTACCTGGAACTCCTGGTCCAGTTTCCTTTCAATCCAATCCGTTACGTGTGCGAGGGTGACCTCCCTTTCTCCCAGTTTTGGTCGGGCTTTCAGCTCCAGGTGAGGTGGGGTCCTGAAGCCGTACCTGCCAAACAGAGCGAGGTTGCAGACTGAGCCGAGACATCCTGCTGTGACGGGAAGACAGCACACAGTCCCATTCCTTCACGCCGTGCGGTGTCATTACTACTTGTAACCAACAGATGGCACAAGTGAAACGCAAAAAGTGTTTCATACAGTATTACTAAAACGTTAACAGGGATACACCTTTTCAACATCTCTCATAACACTAATCTCAATTAATGAAATATGACTTCATATATATTTAATGATGACTGAAATTATTTTAAATGTATTTAACGGCATTGGCTGTGTTAAAATTCAGTTATCACTGATGGCAGAATTAACGTTTTGTTACTGTAATTTTATTGATTCTATACAGCATCAGTCCCTCATCATTTCCAGCAGAGTTCATTTGCAGGCTCTCTATAGCCCACAGGGGTTCAATCTGTGCCTTTGAAAGTCACCCTAATTGCAGTTTCATACATAATTAGTATTTTTTTATAATATTTTCATATTTTAATATATGCCCCCTGTATTATTGTGGAGTGTTGCATTGCATGCATATACAGCATTAAATGCCTGAATCAGCAAACGGTGCATTCATGCCCACTAAAAATAAACTGTAAGGGTGTTAATGTGGAAAAATCAACACGTGTAGCTGATAAAGCTCATTAGGGGGAGAGGAACTTTCTATACGGCACATATTCACATACTAGAAATAAAGGAACACTTAATAATAATAAAAAGAAAAGTTTGAATCTTCATGAAAGTTGGATCTTCTAGGCATACTTTGTTAAATGTTAGGCAATGTTCCAGTATGTAATCCAGTGTAACGCTCACTGGCCTAGGGTAGCTAAGCACACAGCCACGACGTCTCGTTAAACGCCTGAGCACACGCAAGGTTAGTGCCCCAAGTTAGGGTGACGAGTGCCTCGTTTGCTGAGGCTTATCGCTGTTGTCTTGACTAAGAGAAGGCGGCTAGCAGTGGAACATACCATATCCTGTCTGTGGGGGGTGGGGGAATGTTGACAGCTAGCGTCCCCCGGCACTCTTGCACCTCAACGGTCAACAGAAGTGGTGTGTTAGACACCTCCTCCATCTTCTTCTTGATGAACTCTGTCTCTGTGGCCTTCTGGAAGTATTTAGACTTTGTAATCTTGTCCACAAAGCGCATGATCTTGCTGGGTTTGTGTCCCCCGACGTATCTGTGGGCAGGGCGGTCAGAGCTTATCACATTGGTCAGGATCCCTGCAGCCCTTCCTTATACTAGCGTGAAATTTACATTACTACTGATATGCAATTTGTTAGGTCAACTTCGTGGACAGTTATTCCCTGTGTAACTTCCAAAAAATGTTTTCCTTCAGTCTGGTGGGTCAGAGGCTTGGGATCTGTGCCAGCAACTGGAAGGTTGCTAGTTCAAATCCTGTGATGTGAGGTGTTACACCGTGCAGGCCAAGCTGCCAGTCTCTCACCCTTCTGCCCCCGGCAGCGGGTTCTTGTCCGGGGGAATTTCGGGGGGGTCCTCCTCATCAGATGACCCGGCGCTGGACGATTCCTCGTCGCTGTCAGCTAGACAGTATGTCCGCGGCCTGTGCCTGAGACCACAGACACAGACAGACGCATGGGAATTGACAGGCTGTTCTTGTAGTTCTGTGTCTCCCAGTCCAGTCCACATGGACCCATAGGCAGTCCATGTTACGGACTATCTGGCAGGGAGCTCGGAGGGAGCGAAAACATGGACCGTCTGTGGGTCCCTGAGGACTGGACTGGGCAACACTGCTGTACTTCATGAATAAAGCAGACGTCGTTTTGCTTCAAAAAAAGCTTGAGAACAGGCTTGGATTTAGAGATAAAAATATTTATCAGCTGGCCTAGTTAAAGGGAACGTCCCGTCACACTTCATGCTACAGACAAACACCATCACAGCAAGGCAGGACGTGGGGAGTTTAATACTCTACAACTACACAGCACCCAGCCACTCAAACATGCACCTTCACCTTTCAGTCAGGCATCAGAGGACGCCTCCTCCCCTTTTTTGGGGTCCTGAAAGAGCCGACAGTGCTAGTGTTGGCTAATGGGCTGACGTTCTGCCCCAGCCAGTGCTTACTCAGACGCCCCCATGCTGCTGTATAGGTTAGATCCCTAGATCTCTCAGCATTCCGCCATTGGTGCACATGCTTGTCCAGAAAATACCAGAAATAAAAGGAAACTGTATAAAAGACATGAGCCGCGTCTTTGCACAAAGGGAAACGCACCAATCAGAATTAACATCAAATTCCTCCTTCATATATAGAATAATTCCCTTCTCCTCACCAGCTACCGTGTTTCCCCGGAAATAAGACAGGGTCTTATATTAATTTTTGCTCCAAAAGACGCGTTAGGGCTTATTTGCAGGTGATGTCTTATGTTCCCGACAAACTACAGTACATTTACCGGCATTCCTGAACAAAAATCCACATTTATTCACATACAGACACCATGTCATATTCTAACCATACCTTTTCATGTAAACAATCTAACGATACATTTATTCATGAACAAAAATCTACTGTATATACATTTATTTGAATATTAAATAAGTAAATATTATTTCCTGTTTACATATAATCGCATCTCATTCTAGTTACCGTACAATCCATGGGATAGTAACTAGGGCTTATTTTTGGAGTAGGGGTTATATTCCGAGCATCCTGAAAAATCATGCTAGGGCTTATTTTCGGGGAAATACAGTATACCTCAGTGACGGAGCCGCTGACTTTACCGACGATGTTGAAAGTGTTTCCCACCGGAGGGTAACGAGCTGGCATGGACTTTGGACGCGCCCGTCTACTCAGATGCACATCTATGCCCGAGACCCTTGTGACATCACCTCCTCCTTTAAACCCCTTAAATTCCCTCTCGTCTGAGGTGTGATCCACTTTAATTTCAGCAGGGCGAAGCACTACAGTGAAGTCCAGCTTGATGTCCCAGTAAACAAAAGCCCTACTGAGCTCACAAAACCCTGTGAGCAGTTCAACCTCCCCCACCCACCCACCCTATCCAGAGATGTAATAAGGGCCAGGAGTCAAACTGTTTCTTGTCAGGCAGCATCGTAGGGTTTATTTAAAAAAAAAAAAAAAGTAATTAGGTTTCATAAACAGGCCTCCAGACACTCCCAACTCACCAGGTGTAGAAAATATCCACAGACGAGTGCGTCCAGAGACAAGATTTAATGCAGTGGGGGGGAGGGACAAATGTACAGAGACAAGTTAACGCGTAAAAGCAAATTGGTGACCCAATCACAGCAATCAATCCGCATCGTTTAGCATGCACCCGGCAGTTTTTGTCCTGTGACATTCTGAAAATGTCACTAGAGATAAAATGAAGAAACAAAAAAAGTCCCCTTGGATCACATAGTGCAGTTTAATATTTTTGGTGGCAAAAAAAAAAAACAATGGCAAAATCAACAAAAAAGGTACTTCTCCCTGCAGAAAATTAGACAGTCAAAACAAGACTGGAAACAGGAAAGTGGGAAATAACAGCAGCTAAAAATGAAACGTGTACCGTAATGCGAAGAACGGTCATGCTAATTGGGGTAAAAGCCAGCGGTTTAGTGACTCATTTATTACGGTCCTTACCCGTCCTTGCCCGGCTCGCCGGGGCGTACAGCGTCCCCCTCCTTCCCCAGGCGCACCAAGTTCATCTTGGTCTCCAGCGTCATCAGGAAAGAGCCGTTGTAGGAGATCTCCAGGTCAAACCACAGGCCTGTGGGTGGGGACACAGAGTGGCATCAGGACACGGATATTCAAAAAGCCTCCGCTTCCCGTCGCCCCCCGCCGCCCCCGCCGCCCCCCGCCGCCCTGCCCAGGGCACCTCACTTTGCTCCAAGAACAGCTCTCATTTGGTGGATAAATAGGGGGCGAATAAATGAATATTAACATCAACCACGACAAGCCCCCAGCTCCATTTTTAACTGCTCTCGTTTTTCGGAGGGGGAATCTTACACGGGAAGTTCTGTAGACGCTGCCTGAAGGTTTTAGGCCCGGTATCGGCGGCCCCCCTCTTCCCCATGACCCCATGCATCACACCCCCAGTTCTCCCAACCTTCCCCCAATCCACGCCCCCCCCCCCCCAAACTCTTCCTCTCTCTCTGCCTGATCTGGGCCCTTGCCTGCATCCCACAGCGGGCCTTCCAGAGCCCTTTTCTTCTCATCTGAGATGAGACAGAAGGGGTAGGAGTGCCAGGGGGTGTCCTCCATAGTGCATTTAGCAAAAAGAGAGAAATAGCGGCTCCCAGAATGGCCTTTTCCCACTTATAATGGGAGGACACTATTCAACATTCCTGACATTCTAATGCTCACACTATCTGGGTCACTTTCCGCAAACATGTCCGCCGGGGTCTTCCTCTGCTCAAAATGCTAGTTTTGCTAACACAGTCACATCCTCTGGGACATTTTTTTTGCATCCAAGACATCTTTCCTTTGAAACTGAATCTTTATCCCCTCTACACAGGACTATATCTACAATATACTTTCAAAGTGTATTGGGGGGAGAGCCCAAATATCTGCAGGAGAACAACTGTGAACATGGGATACTGACCTTTATGTGAGCAAAGAAGCATGAGAAAGTAAAAATTTGCTTCCTGAAACAACATTAAAATCCATATTCTTAGACTTAGTGTTTACAATCTCTGGACAAGCCTACTGAAAAGAGCTCCTTTTATGACCACTTCATTTTCTGAATGGAGTAATACCATCCATCAGCCACTAGGGGGCACTATAGATTTTTGTGTTTCTTTCCCAGCACACAAACATCTCCTGACAGAAAAAGCTCCCACCTTGACCCACGTAACGCAGCTGTAAAAGACGAGGGCTGTCTCACTCTTTTATAATGCTCTGCGATCCACTCGCCTCTGACGCCATCTTAATTAGCCCTTTTCCCGGCATAGGAAGGAGAAGCCAAGAGATATGGTGCCTGCTTGACATGGCCGGCAGGTGTGTGGAGATCAGCTTGAGTAACGTGTGAATATCGGGCTATAAGATAACTAGGCAATATGCTGACTGGATAGAGGCCCACTGTTGAGTAGATGTAATACGTAGGTATCACATGACAAACAAGGCTGGAAGAGTGAGGAGGGAACAAACTTTATATCTCAGATTGGGGGCTGGGGGCAGGCTGATGACCCCCTCAATCATCTTCCCAGGGCCAAGACTGGCAGGAGAAAACCTAGGGGCCACTCCAAACACCGGGACGGCAGCAGACTCTCTCCCTAATTGGAGCGAGCTTGCCAGCTGCGCAGTCAGAAGGCGGCAGGTCTGCGCAGCTGGTGGGCAGGCGCTCGCCTGGCATTAAGCCATGACTCAGATTTCGGTCAATGGCCCCAGGGCTTATTGATCTTCAGAACTCGGCAGGAGGAAGAGAGCAGCCTTGCATTCAGCCTAAATGGAGAAGCTCTTACATTAGTAATTATTTTTGGCAGGTAACGGTTCGGTGCTTAAAATTACATACATGGGAAAAGTTGACCTTTTTCACGTTTTTCACATTAGGTCATGTATGATTCCCCATTTCATGATTCGGCTGCTTTTAGAGGTTTTGAAAAATCAGCTTCATAGAGTTACTCCACTGATGATTATGCTATCCATCGCTGACAACAACATTTGAGTAACATAAAAAAAAAAAAAAATGTAACAATCATCTCTTCCACTGAAGGCCAAATTTCCAGTAAGTTACCATCTTAGCCTAAAGGCCGCGAGTTGCTTAGTTGTTAGAGAACTAGAGCTAAGATTAATCTAGGAATGCACAACTCCAGGAACGGTGACCGCTGCTAATTGCCTTACTGAGACCATTATCTGGAAAGTAAACCAATTTACCCAGTACTGCAGGATTTAATGGGGTGCTAATTAAAATGTACTGTGAAACCTGCAGGAGCCTCTCCATCCTGGACCTGGGTTGTGGGCTCCATCTTCAATCCTCCCGTCATTAATTATTTATGGGGACATTTACGGATGTAAGACAAACCCAAAGGGGACCCTGCAGGACCTGGGATGAAGATCCCAATCCTATATTAAGAAATAATCCTCTTCAGAAGGGAACATCCCTGGAGCTATCCACGGAGGTATCGTTTCACTTACTGGCCGCCATATCGGCAAGACTGACCAAATCAGCTTCCGTCGATTACACATTAAGTGATACTCGCAGTGCATGACTCGTACCATGCTGTGCTGCCTATGAGCTAGGAGAGTGTGCTCATATCTCCCCTGATGATTGGTGGGAAACGTGGGACGACACAGAGGAACCAGCTGCTGGGGCGTGACCCAGTAGCTGTGCCGGTGCCAATTAGCCTTAAAGGCAGTCACTGCAGTGCCATCTGCTGCCCGTTCGCCCCCTTTCCCAGCATCCTTGGCTTGGTATCAAGAACATTTTTGGAATGTTTGTCAAATTGGCGAGTTTGGCATACAGTACTCAACACGTCACAGAGGACAAATACATCGGGTTGTAGGGAGTGGGTTTGGAGGCAATATTTTGACATGCACAACCCCTCCCTCAATTATCATTGCAGTGGGAAGAGCCTCACATGGGCTGGGCAGGACAGCAAGGGCCGTCTGACTTGCTTGTTGATTCTCAACAAGGATCTTGGCCTGCCTGCTTCTCGCCAGGAAAAGCCAGAAAGCGAAAATCGCAGCCGGATGCCTTCAGCGAAACACGCAATACCTCCATCTCTCCCTCTCTCTGCTGCCTGTTTGTTTCTGTTGTCTTTTGAAAGAAAGACGTTGCTCTTTTTCTGTGCTGCCTGTGTGTAGAATGGAGTCCCTGTACGTCAGAGAGGACGTGGGGCCGTCTGCCTCCAGGCTAAGTGTTCAGCCTGTAGCAAGGCGTCTGAACGGGGCTCTTCAGCAGGGTTCCATTTGCCCCGGGCTACGAGATGCACCCCGAGAGCGCCCGCCTCCCTCGGCCGGGTGGAACCGACATGCTTGGTTTCTTCGACAGCGAGATCAGCGGCGGGTGTCCTGCAGCCCTTAGGGTGACCCCGAGACGTTAAGCTATGTGGTGGCATCGCACAGCTCCCCAGAGCTGCACTCAGCATCCACGTGCCTGCATGCGTACCTGCATGCGTGCCTGCATGCGTGCCTACACCCTGTCAACAGAATGCGATGAGGTTCCGCTCACTGCACAATGAAGAGCGTCACGGTAACACGATCACTCCCATCACTGTCCTCTTAGCGAACTCTAAACAGTGCAGAGATGCACAGATCCGATATTCGGGTCGATATCAGTGCTGATCCAGACCTATTAGATGGATTGGGTATGGCCATACATGACTGACCCACGCCCGATACTTACTAATTTAATATTAATCAGTCACTAAAAGATAGATTTAACATGAAATAGGAGCTGTTTGTACAATCAATCGCACGACAGCTCTTTCCCATTTTAGATGTGTTTCTTGTGGCATTCAGGCTGAACGCTAACGCTGCCACTCAGCTGTTTGTTTGCCACTCAGTGGGTGTGAGCGTGGTGACTTCTGCCTGCTGTGACGTCATGCGCATACCCTTTGCGGTACGAGGAGCCTAAGAACATCAGATAAGAGGCTGACTATCTGGACGTATTTTATGCTTTTAACAGTAACTAGTAGCACAGCGATTTGCAATCTCAAACAAAGTTTTGAGAGGTGGAAGTAGCGTTTAGTGGAAAATCCCCCTAAACAAAGTGCATACGATTATGCCAGACAATGCGAGGAGTCGCTAGCTTGGGCTACTTGCACACTCACTACAGCTTGTGATAAACGAGGGGCTGCTGTCGCAATGAGGGGTAAGTGACGCTGATGCCAGTGGGGGACAAATTGTGGGGCATTTTAAGCATTCGCCACTTGTGTATCTTCTTGGAAGATATTCACATTGAACTGCGAATGCCTCAAAATCAAGACGTAACAAACGAGGTGGAATGGTACATTATGTGTGTTTTACCAGTAGCCTAATTAAAGATTTTTTGGCATACAGTTTTTCATCTGCCTTTACTATATTTTTTATATATATATATATATATATATATATATATATATATATATATATATATATATAAATGAAAAGAGCTGCTGCATTGGAACCTGTTTTGGTATTGACAGTTGTGTATTGGAATCGGATCTGACAGTGCAAGAGCTGTCCCTTGTCAGGAGATCTGAGGCGTGTCAGCACCGAGGCGGACTGGACTGGATCGGGCTGAGCCAGGAGGCGGGGTGCGTGTGCCCAGTAATCGCAGTGTGCCTGACGTTGCCATGGTTCCGTTTACGGATAATGACTCGTGACGCCCCCCCCCCCCTGCCCCATGGGTGACTAATCAGATGGGAATACTGGGGGGCTTTGTGTCTCCCGGCTGATTCTGTATTGCTGAGAACCACAACAGCCAACTGACCACAAAAACAGCAGCAACAAGTGGTCTTTATGTGCAAATCATTTTCCAAAACAGAATATTGTTTACCTATTAATGGAAATGTCACTAATGACATTTAGATTAACTACTTCACTGCAGAGTACAACAGAATCTTTTAGTATTGCACCAAAAACTAAACCAATGGTAGACCTTGGTACCACCTGACTGGAAGTCCGGAGCCATTCGAACCCATCTGCTATGGCCGATAGGCTGAAGTGAGAGACCGAGCACCAACAGCAGCATCCTAGTCCATCTTTAATGTAGAAAGTCATAAGCTGAGTTTGTCAAAAGTCCAGTTTAGCCCAGTTTTCCCCCTCAAGACTTACATGCCTGTTGATAGCAAATACCAGGAAATGTTTGCGTAAACCTTGTTTTAGATCAAACCTAAACCTGACCAGAACATCTAATGGTAGTAGTTTGTTTTGAAATACGTAGCTTAGTCTTATTTTATCTTAAGTTCTTTTCAGAAGGGCACAAGTTGGACAACTCCGCCATAACTAAATTAACCATTAATGGGATGCAAAGCACAAAAAAAAAAAAACACTTACTGCCCCAGACTGTCCCCACATAATACCAGCATATGTGAAGCTGAGCCCCGGCTTGCCGGGAGTTACCTTGATGATCCACAGAGGGCTCAGATGCATGCAGGATCTTGGGGACGGCCACACCCATATCCAGCTCGGTCAAGGTCAGCTCATTCATGAAGTACGGCAGCTACAAGACAGAACCCCGAAACCCGTACACTTCAAAAGACAGTGGGGGCTCAAAATGGCTGAGGTCTAGCAGAGATCACAGCATCACAGCTTTCGAACAGTAAGAGAGCAACAAGCATGAGCCACTGAGGGACATCGGATTATTGAAATTGCAGCTTATCGGAGGGTCAAAGCAAGAATCAAACTACTCATATCGTTTCCTGGGGCACACTGTGAAACTATGAAGGAAGACAACCACAGTAGCATGGTTCCAAATGACTAATGCAGGACAGACACGGTGACATTTAAAAGCCCCTGTCTGACATTTAAACTCCACCTACTCTAATCAGATTCAGCTGTCTGCCAGGTTCTAGTCCCGCCCTGGATTGTGGTCTAGCCCCCCAAAGCTCCTCTTGAGCTTCCCTTGAGTGAACCATTATGCTGGTCCTTCTCAAGCGCAACATGAAACCTGACATCCCTCACTCTATGATACGAAAGATGTCACTTCCGGCTCAGACTACAGGGGGGAGCGGTGGAGCTGAAGAAAAGGGGCGACTGTTCAAATACACACAACTGACCGAACGGGCTTCAGGCAACTCACCCTGATCTTGCTAAGCTTCATCTGGATCTTCTTGGACACCATGTCAGCCCAGTACTTCTCACCCAGGAAGTCCCAGAAGATTCGGCCAACCAAAGCATTCACCCAAGCCACGGGTTCCTCCTCCGGCCCAGGGCGACTGGGCAGCTGGGGAAGCAACACAGGCAGCAAATGTGAGCTTACGTTACAATGAAAAGAAGTGTTTTCCCCATAACTGTTTCTTCATAGTCAGCCATGTTGACAAAAATGAATGACCGCTGAAAAAGTGGGGTGAAACACTTAATTCTATTCCACAGGGGCACAGTCTTCCCAAATGTAACTCGATTTTCCACTAAAATGGATGGATTCCTTGTCTTTATAGCTGATGTGCTCATTTGAAGCCATGAATCAGCCTTAACCTGATGTGACACCAAACAAAAGGCTTAAAATCAGCTGGAAATACACAAGCTCATTCTGCTCTGGGCTGTTCCCACTCAACGTCCACACCCAGCCCGCCCCAAGCTTTCAAGCTGCCCTCGGTACCTTCTTGCCCGCTCCAGGGCTGCTCTCGGCGCTGTGGATGGGGCTGCCAGCCGGGCTGCCTGGCTGCGGGGGCATGTACTTGGCCATGAAGACCTCGTAGTCCAGCAGCATCTTCTGCCGCCCGCCGCCCGCGAGATCCTTCTGCCGCGGCTGGCCGGCCAGCAGCTCGTCCAGGCTGCCCCTGCTGCTGCTGCGGCTGTGAGTGGTCAGCATGGCTGCAGGGCAGGACGAAACGTGCCGCTGTGAACATTCTCACGTCTCACGAGGCCTCTGCTCCCTACTCAAGGTACGAACATGCTCAGCGTGAGCCAGCAACAGGCACGGCGGCAGGCAGGCGGCGGGCTGCATAGCCCGAGTCTCAAAGGCAACCGAGGCCCAGGCTTGGGCTGCTGAGCGACTGACTATAATCAGGCCACCATCTTGGCTGAGCTCAGCCTGGACAGAGAGCTGGGAGGGTGAGGTCTGCCTCCTTTAAGGTGCGGCATACATCAGAGATATGGGGGAGAAAAAACAAAGACATTTTCAATGGTAAACCCTGCTGTCCTGAGCCTATGTATCACCATTGTACAAGACCTCTAGTCTAGAACTTCTACCCATTTTGAAAACACCTACATAAGTCTTCCCGGCTGCATTAACATCCATTTTTCTTGTAAACCGACAACTGAAACCCCTGGACAAAGCCTAGTGGTGATTTGGGGAAGGTGGTTTCATGCATATTGTACCTACGGCCAATAGTGGGCTACAGTCATGTTGAAGGATTAATCATTTGTGGTGCACCCCATGCCCCCCCTGGCTGGCTGGCCATTGTTCCCTGTGTACCCTTAGCTAGATTTCCAGACCTTTCCACCACTACACCCTACAGGTATCTGTAAGAAAGCTAAAATTATTTGCCCTCCTATTCCTAAACAGAGGAAAGGAACACAACTGAGCCACAATTGAGTCCCTCGTGTAGGGGGTAAGGATCACAGAGGCTTGTGCCCCTGTCCAAATCCATGCAGGCGGCCAAAGCACATAGTAATCATTGAGGGTTTATGTCACATGACCCTCAATGCCCAACATGCTTAATGTAACAGCTGCAGCCCAAGTGACTGAGAAATGTAAGAGGGACCGTCTACCTCAACGTATGAGCACCCTGCTTCCACTTGGACAGCCTAATTCAGTGTAGTGCCGCTATACACCTCGTTCATTTCCTCAGAACACGAACGTGACCTTCAGAGGCCAAAAACACCCGGCTTCCTCATTTGTTTGACATTTGTCCCTAGCCTATGCTAATGCTAATTTTTGGGTCAAGCTACAGTCACCTGGCCATTAGCTAAATTTACCGCAACACAATGTGTGCACTGAGATAAATAAGCTCAAGATGCATGAAAAATATGCAGCCAGCTACTGACTCATAAAATATGTTGTTTTTCTTTTTTTGTTTCACAGAGATACTGAGTGCCTCTGGGCCGGTGCCAACAGCGAACAAGGCTGCACAAGGACAGCTCAGTGACTTTAAACAAGACTCCATTGTTAGCATGCGTTTCGCAGTGGACGTAGAGGGAAATGGCATGAAATGTGTCACGCGGAAAGTTGGCGGGGAGGGTGTGCAAGGCGCAAGCCGTCGGATATAAACCAACCTGGTACGGAGGTCAAAGTATGTGGCGAGTAGACCCACATAAAAGAGGTGAAAGCAACAGAGCAACAGCAGAAGCTGGTCTGCAGCCCCCAGGCTCTGCCATCTAGCCTAAAATATCTATCGCTTAAACCATGTCACTAGTTGCACTCATTTCTAATGTGTAACATCCAGCACAACAGGCTATGGTTATACAACCAATGCAATAAAATGTGATCGTCACAGTTCCCCCCCTTATGATGTCTTAGCTGACTAACATCGACTCAAGGCGAGCACCTGTCCCTGCCTAGTCTGACGCACGGCTCTCAGAGCTCAGGAGTATTTGCGTTTCAACATCTGCTTGGCCCCACACACACACACACACACACACACACACACACACACACACACAGAGCTTCTTTCCTCAAAGTTCTCCCACTGCTCCCTGTAATGCAGACTGGATCAGCTGGAAAAAACGCAACCTTTCATCATTCCTTAAGAAGCCTTGCTGGTCCAGTTAAACAGGTTTTTCCACTTAAAAAGAAAAAAAGAAAAAAGTCCAACAGAGGACCGGATCTGTGTAGGACTTTGAACTCTCCTCCCCCTCTACAAGACCCAAGGTCTAAACGCCAGGTCTGAGCAGCTGAAGGCCAGCATAAGGGGCGGCCTGCATACTTACCACTCTTGCTTGCAGGAAGACTGGTAGGCTTCTTGGCATCTGATTTCAGCTTGGATGCCACCAGCATTCGTCTGAACCATTCCTCCTTCTCTCTACCTGTCCTCCCGAAGAGGTAGAGGGTCTGCTCCTTGTGGACCGACGCCCGCGCCCCATCCTGTGTCGCGGGGGCCCTCTTGGCATCCTCCCCCGTCCCACATGCCTCCTTCTCTGCGGGAGTGGCTCTCTCTTCCCCGGCGTCCCCCTTGTCCGCTTCCGCCTTGGACATGAAGTCGTCCTGCTTGCCCAGCTCAATGCAGATCGGGTACTTTTTGTTCCACACCCTCTTCCGCGCCAGACTTGGGGGCACCAGATATATCTGATTGAGAAATTGCTTGTTTCACAATGAGGCTCTCGGAGGTAAGGGGAAAGCTTTCAGCTCCCCGCGTTACTAGGAGACCAATAATGACATTTTCAACAGGTTATACTCTAGAAAGAAGGGCATGTGAAGGGCGTTTCTTACGGCACAATCGTGTGTTAAAATCTAGCCATTGAAAGTTTATGTATAAGGGATTCTGTGCCGTCAGAGAGAGAAGAGGAGCAAATTGCCATAACCCATATTACGCTCGTGTGCAAACGTGTCATATGATCAGCTGGCCAGATGCAATCAGCCAATGGGGTTTGTTTAGCGTTATGAGAGATCCCCATCAGCGCCCATTCGCGATCATGTCATCGGGTCTGGGGTCCTGAGTGCACATGCCCGTATTTCAGTATTCAGCCAAACTGATCACTAATGTAATTAACAGTCACAACTGGCATTGGCACAGACAGGCTGAAGCGTAGGCGACTATCGGGTTCTGATGAACTAACAGCTTAATAAACATAACCTATCCCTAACAAACCCAGGGGAAATCATACACAATGCATGCTTCTGTTGCTCTAGACAAAAGCGATGAAACAGACGAGCTAAGGGTCACTAGGAAGACTAGCAGTTAAGATGACATCATGTTGACTCCACCGGCACAAACCCAAGCTGACAAAATAAAGAGCAGGGCCACCTTGCTGTCTGTCAGGTCATAGATCTTCTGGCTGATGTAGGTGATGTCCGGCTTGGGCTCGTTGACGGTGGCCCGGCGGGCGATGTTGCGGTTGGGCTTGGAGAGGCGGAGGGTGGAGCCTTCCAGGCGTACGAACACCGAGTGGGTCAGAGTGGCGTGGTACGTCTCCGGGTCGTAGTTGTGGATCTCATTCATCCAGCCCTGGTTACACGGGGGAGGAAGTGCGGACTGAGAGCGTGAGACACGACACGGCACGGCATTTTCACGCTTTCAGAACTGTCAACACCAGAATAGATGGAAATGCTTTTAAAAGAAAAACTAAAATGCCTCACTAAGAAATGTCACCAGGAAGACCAAGGGACAGGTCTGTATTCTATCTTGAAAGGGCTTAGAGGGTAAAACTTGAGACAAACCAAGGAGGGCATCGAATCAATAGTTTTTTTAGTTGTTGTTTTTTCGGGGGGGGGCAAACACATTACTGTTGGTACCTAGTGAAAACAAACCTGCCTTTTTCAGTTAAATATAAGCCATGGCGTTGCCGATCCTGGGCGCCGTCGCTGAGATGCACTTTCGGGGCCCCTGTTGCCTTAATTTCGGCCCCTAGGAGTCCGTTTAGCGAGCTGCCAGTGCCAGCCCCATTTATGGCCCCGGGGCACCGCGTTCCAGGAGAATCCGTACCGCACGGTGCACTTTACCACAATAGGCACCGGACACATCCACACGCTGCTCCGTAAAATTGCCCTCACCCACAAATAACCTCAGTGTTTGCGTTCAAAGCCTTTCACAGGAAATGAAGCTCTGCACAAACAACCAAAGGTAACACATTCGACACCCTACGGTACTGAATGTGAGGCTGATCGGGGTGTATCGAGGTGTGAGGCTATTTTATTGCCATGTAGTACAGTGAAAATTCTTATTGCATATTTCCTGCAGACCGTAGTACAAGGACATAAAATAACAAAAGAGAAATACAAAAAAAAAATACATTGCACTGGAGTTAGAAACTGGACAAGTGACAGTTGCAGAAGGAGCTGCTGTAGCTATTGAAGGTCATAACTGCCTGCAAAAAAACTGTCCCAGAATCTTAGTGTATTTAAGGTCCAAATAGTATAGCACCTTAAGTACTACCTTCAGCTGCATGCCTAGAATACCATAAGTGCCAGGAAGTGGTGAACACAATACCATATGGCGACAAAGCAGGTCATCCTGAACATCTGCAATGTTTAGTATACAGGAATCTCTCAGGCCTGTCAGCTGACACCATGAACAATACCCTACATTCCCATGCTCGCTTACTGTAATAAGATCCACCATTGTGACACTTCTGCGTAGGAACTTTGCAGACCTGTTTATCCAAATTCCATAGATGTCCTTCACACCCATTGGAACGCCGTGTATTCCCATGCGAGACAAAAATCCCACTATTCCAGTCAATCTCTTAAGCAACGGCTACTTTTCATTTTCCATAAACAATCAACGTAAACAGAATAACATACTGTTGGGCACCATATGCTGAGATTGAAATGTGTGTTAATGTTTATGTTATTATACTATACTGACACTTATTGAGTGAAACTGATATGGTAATCAGAGCAAGGTTATGCTCAGAGTACTAAGTATACTAATATGGTGGTGGAGGACTTTGTTTCATTACCCATTCGAGTCCCAGAAGGAGTGCTGCTGCTCAGCGACTCGGAGGAATAAGGCAGCAAGTCCAGAAGGCTCCTCATAGCTCAAAGCTTTGCAACAATGACACAAATGGTCAAACGATACCATGCATGGGACGGTAGAAGCTACTATCTTCATTCTTAGAAACATAGTAGGAGGACCAAATAGACCTGGAGTACAAGCCATGCAGGGAACATCTGTGATAGATCTCTTCGAGGTTCAGACTTTGCATATTTAATAAACAATGTATTAAAAGAATATCTCATATAATATATACCTCCAGCCACTTGCCTCTAAAATTAAGATATCAAAAGGTAATGGGTCTCGAGTTAAAGGTAATATGATTGAGAGAGGAACCCTAATGATCACAATCTGAAGATGCACGACAGAAGACAAACAGAGCATGCAGGTTCCTGACACGCTGCTTAGAGTGTGAGCGAGACACTCCCCGTTCAGGAGACCGTGCAGCACCGGCCGTTTAGGGCCGGTAAATGTTTAGTGTTGAAGGACACGAAGGATGGGATTTGTTGGGCGGGATCACATCTGGTGGCTTTTTCTGCTCTAAGGGGTCGATCGACCGTAACAGCAAGGGTGACATTTGGGGCAGCAGGTTCCACAGTGGCCAAGAAACTGCAACCAAAAAGCTGACTGTGTCCCAAAACAGGCTCTACGGCTGCACCCATAAGCAGGGCGGTTCACCTGAATCTCTTCAGCAAAAAGACCCCATTGTACAAAATGCACAAAATGAATGAATTTCCTCTTTGCTCAGTAACTATCACTACAAATATGACCTGAGACAGAAAGGGTAGTTATGATATGAACTCAAAGGGAAACTGAGCTAAATGGTCCCATGAAAAGAGAAACAGAGTCTGGACATTAACCTAGTGGCCTTCTTCAAGGGCGAGGCTGTGAAAATCGATCAGCTCGCTGACCCGTCGGTGGACACAGAGGCGAAGCGAACACCCATTAGTCACCGTGGCTGACTTTTTTGGGGTGTGGGGGGGGCTAGGAAAGACTCCTGCTTGAGAGTGATAATCTATCGCTGGGCACACTTGTCTGAGGAATACAGCAGTTTCCTAGGCATTGAGACTAAACCTGCAACTGGAAGGGCTTGATTTTTCACATAATTGGATACACAGCATCATATCGAATCATGCGGGATTCTGCAACAAGGCTGGCTCACAGGAGCGCTAGGGTGGGCAAGGGCGGATGAGGCCGTGAGCAGTCTTCAGCTGTGAATCACCCCCCCCCCCCGCCGTCAAAGGACTGCAGTCAGCGAGAGGTTTAGAACGTGACTCTGCCCACAAACAGGAAGGGACTCAGTACTCCACCATCACCTGGACAGGTGTGGGTGACGCATCGTGTGTGTTTGAAAAGGACAGATCTGGAGGAGCCCTTTTGAAAGCTGTCATGTGAGAAGATCTGCTGTGGTATGACTCGCCTTCTGAACTGGCTGCTTGCACAAACCCCCCCACCACCACCCCAGCACATGTTGTCATGCGTGTCTGAATCACGGAAGTAGCGCTGGCCAAAGGGGAACTCTGGAGTGTGACCCTGACAGTGACGTTATGGAGGATGACAGCTTCAGATCCATAGCATGAGCCTTCAAAAAGAGGATTCAGTCACTAAAAATGGAAAAGCAAACCTTTGGAAGTTCAATCTCTTCTAGAGTTAAAGACATGGAGTGTTATTGTTTTATATTTAAAAACAAACAAAAAAAACGATTTACTGTGGCAAAATTGCTTCCTCTCTGCACATAGTAAATCAAGCCCTCCAGTGCTGGCAGTCCACCTGGGCTCTAACGAAGTGCTCGGTTGTATCACTCTTCCACGCCTCCTGTGCCCAGATCACGGCGCAGGTCTCCAGTTGTGTCATCAGGCTCTGAGAAAAATGTACCCGCCAATCAGCTATAAAGCAGGAGCGCCAAGAGAAATCTCAAGCCTCTAAAGGGTCGGATTCGATTTCGCTTTAGGCAGATTCCACAACAGAAATGAGGGGACAGTAAATCCACGGGAGTTGAGTGTGCATCTAGCAACCACAGCGAGCCTCTCCTCACAAGGACGGGGCAGGCGCAGTAGGCAAGAGGGCTGTAAATCAGGCAAAGAAAACGAGGCCTGGAGGGGGACATCGATGCCAATAAACCCATTTATGATATCAGCCCCCTCCCACGTAGCAGCAGGAGTAAGGAGGAAGCATGGAGTTTTTTCTAGGACCTAATGGTGAGAAGCAATTCTATCACAAGCATCATACAGGGCTGAACTGCAGCCTTCCGGAAGGTCCTTGGCTCCTCAGACTGGGAAGACCATGGTCAGGAAGAGCCGGGGGGGTGGGGGGTGGCGGTCATGCTTCTGAGATTTTGTCTGCCTGTGGTTTTGATCCACCTCTGTTTCCACGCACTTATATAAGATGCCTATTTATAAATCCGTAAAGACAAAATCGTGTCACGGAAGCTTCCCCCCTTCCCTTTCTCATTAAATCCCTAAAAATATCGTGCTGCTTGGCACTCCGACTGGAGTCTGGCGGGCCCCACGTCGTTTCCTTATTTTTTCTTCTTCAGTCGAGAGAAGCCTTTGTCACACAGAACGGTCTAGAAAAGCCACCCCAGCAAATGAACAGGAAGCCAGAGCAAGCGAATCAGACGACTGTCAGCCTGTAATAAACCTGAAAGAGTGGAGCAGCTCAAGATACCTTCGAGAGGCTTCCATAATTCACATGATTAGCTGTGCGACCAGACGGCAGGTTCAGATGGAACGTTACCCCTGGATTCATCCCTCCTTTGGGGTGGGGGGCCCAACTCTCACCTCACCCCCTTTCGGACCCAGTCTGACTACAATAAATAGGCAGTGAAAAATGTAGCGAAGGCCTCACACTAGAGAATACTGCAGCAATCAGTTATTGACAGGTTTCCATGTTTAGCTGCAGCATTCGGAGAAAATCAATGCACACATAATAAAAGGTAAATCTGTATACATATCAATGATGTAAAATGCAGTAAAACAGACAATTAGACTTAATCGTTGCACTGAGCAAAAGCCTTTCCAGGAGAGCTGGCTTTCTACCAAGAATTACCATAAACCATCAACAATACCCCAGTCATTAATGTTAAAGGCAAGCAAAGATGTTCATTTCTTGGATAAAGATGTTTCAGCACCTGCTCCACACCTGATAGGATGGAGTCATAAGATGGTAATGCTGTTAACCAATTAAATTTAATTTATTCTAAAAAGTTTATATAGTGAGGTTATAAACACATTAATACTTTTATTACTTTGAGGTAACACTTTTAAGTAATGTCATCCAGGCATCTGTGCCATCTAACTGAGTAATCACCTGTGGTTTGCAGTTAGGGTTCAATGTTAGCTCCTAATTAATAGCATAGGAAAACCAGGTGTTGAAGAGTAAATCAGCTTCTGTGGTTTCAAACAGCAGCTCTCTCACAGGCTGTCCAGTCCAATTAAAAATAGGGCTGGGCGATATAACATTGATATTATATCACGAAAGCTCAATAATCACCAGGGCTTCAGGTGACTGACGTTTATTTACACCCACAATTTGGTAAGCAGAGTAGTAACAATTTGGTTAGCAGAGCATGCCACATAATACTGTTTTGGTATACTACAGTTTGGTATACTTCAGTATAATAATGCACTGTAGCGGGGCACACCACATAATACTGTTTTGGTATACTATGGTTTGGTATACTTCAGTACAATATGCACTGTAGCCGGGCACACCACATAATACTGTTTTGGTATACTATGGTTTGGTATACTTCAGTACAATATGCACTGTAGCGGGGCACACCACATATTACTGTTTTGGTATACTATGGTTTGGTATACTTCAGTACAATATGCACTGTAGCGGGGCACACCACATATTACTGTTTTGGTATACTATGGTTTGGTATACTT